AAAATAAAAAAGAAGTAAAAAATCAAATGTTCAAATTAGCAACATAGAACAGAGCATTATTAAATAGTTTGATAAAGAAAAAATTTAGTAAATAAAAAACATATCTTAAAAAATAATTAAATATAAATTATAAATTTTTCAATCTAAAACTTAAATAAATAAAAAAGGTTACATCCAAAGATCAAACATTAGAGAAGAACCTCCAAATTCGGATCCCCAATCACCGCATTATAACAAAAGTTTTAACAATGAAAATCTCGATTTTAATTAAGAATATTAATATGATATTACTTTATTTAATAGATAATAACCAGATGAAATTGACTTTGCAGATTGTTGGGAGCATTCTTATTAAAATGTGTTTTGTCCGGAATATTTCTATCATTTTTGGTTTTGTGGTATTGTATATTCATTTGAACCGGAATGGACAATTAACTATCCTTTTGAAAAAGGACCTCTTTCTCCATTGTTTAGAGGAGAACATGCATTAAGAAGATATCCTACAGGAGAAGAAAGGTTTTTTTTTTTTATTATTTCAAAATAAGTATTTTTTTTGTTTAAACAAAAAATAAATATTAAAGATGTATTGCTTGTAAATTATGCCAAAGTGCATGTCCTGCAAGAGCAATTACTATCGAAACTGAACCTAGACCAGATTATTCTAGGTTTATTTTTTTTAATATTAATAACTACTTTTTTAATTAAAAAATTAATAATATTTAGACGTACAGTTAGATATGATATTGACATGACAAAATGCATTTATTGTGGATTTTGTTAAGAAGCTTGTCCTGTTGATGCTATTGTCGAAGTATTTTTTTTTTTAAGTATTAATTTTTTTGTTTATTTTTAATTTTAAAGGGACCTAATTATGAATTCAGTTAATATTAACATGAAGAATTGTTTTATGATAAATATAAATTACTTGAAAATGGTGATAAATGGGAACCTTAAATTGCAAGAAATATTGAATATATTATTAGTAGACCAATATAATGATTTTTATATTTTTTTTTTTTTATTTATAACAAAATTAAGTATTATTTTTATTTTATCAAAATAAAAATCTATTTTACCCTTTATTAATTTTTTTACTTATAATTTATTTTATATTTTTATAAATTTATAATATTATTTATAGCAATAGAAAAATTAAAAAAAAAAAAATTATAATTTTTATTATGTAAAATACTTTTTTTTTATATTTCTATCTGCCAAAATAATTTTTTTAAAATTTATTATTAGAATAAAAAATAAATTATTTATTTATTATAAAAAATACTTATATAAACTTATTATAATTTTTTTTATATTTTTTTTTATTTTTCTCATATTTCCTATATTTTTAATCTTTAAAATATATATTAAATTTAAATAAAATTAGATATAATAATCAAAAACAAAGTTTGAAATTTTAAAAATAAAATTAATTTTATAAATGAAAGCTAAAATTTTTTATAAATAATATTTAATTTGCTATTATAACTGATAAATTTTATTTTAATTTTTTTTTTTAGCATAATGATGAATTATTATATAAATATATAAAAAATTAATATATGTATTTTTATTCGTGTTTAATCTTTTTTTTTAATTATTTTTTTTCTTTTTTTTTCAATTTTTTGGATTTTAATACAATTTAAAATGTTTATTTTGTATTGAAAAAAAAAAAAAATTATATTAATATAATTATAATTTCTTTAAATAATTAATATTGCAAAAAAAAAAAAAAACAAAACACAAATGGAAGAATCGTAAAATGAAAAAAATGTAAATTAAAACAGATATAAAAAAATTATTTATATTATTTAAAAATATTACAAAAATTGTTAACTTTAAATAAAAACAAAAAAAGAATAATTCTTCAGATTACGATAATTAAGAAGATGAAGATAATAATGATAAAGATAGAGTAGTAGAATAAAGTCCAAAAGAAAGATTTTTAAGGGTTTGAAAAAAATATAATATTAACAATAAAAAAATAGCAAATATAAAAACAAATAAATAAATGAATGCTAAAAAAAAGCATTTATAAAAGAAAAAAATAAACATAAATATTGATATAATTATATACTAAAAAAATAAAAAAAAAATAAGTTTAATGAAGAATTAGGATTTGGAGCATATAAAACAGTATATAGAGGATATGATAGAGATTCTGGATGTGAAGTAGCATGGAATGTATTAAAGTTATAGAGATTACCTCCAAGTATTTAAATATTTATTTAAAAAAAAAAAAAAAAATAGAATATTTTAAAAAATAATAATAAAAAATATAAATAGATGAAAGAAAAAGAATATTGGAGGAAATTACATTATTAAAAAATTTACATCATCCAAATATAATAAGTTTTGTGAATGCTTGGATAAATAAAGGGAAAAATGAGATAGTTTTTATAACAGAATGCTTATCAGGTGGATCTTTAAAATAGTAAAATAATTTATTTTATTTTATTTTTTTATTACAAAAAAAAAAAAAAAAAAAACACTAAAAAATATTATTAAAAAAAGACACTTGAAAAAAATTGGTAAACCAAAATTAAAAATAATAAAAAATTGGTGTAGATAAATTCTTAGTGGATTAGTTTATTTACATTAACAAAAGCCATATTCAATAATACATAGGGATATTAAATGTGAAAATATATTCATTAATACCACAAATAATGAAATTAGAATAGGAGATTTAGGACTAGCTATTTCTTTAAAAAACTCTTCACATACAAGTAGTGTTATAGGAACTCCAGAGTTTATGGCACCTGAAATTTATGAAGAAAAATATGGAACTCCGGTAGATATTTATTCGTTTGGAATGTGTGTTTTAGAAATGGCTACTTTATAAAAACCATATAAAGAATGTACATCAGCTGCTTAAATTTATAGAAAAGTAAAAAAATTAAAAATCCAAAATAATTCATTATAATATATAAGGTTTCTTAAGGAGTTCTTCCTTCATAAATTGATGATATATAAAATGAAAAATTAAAATAGTTAATACTAAAGTGTTTAAATCATTATTCAGATAGACCAACAGCCGAAGAATTGCTAAATGATTCATATTTATGTAGCTAAGACTAAGAAGAAGATAAATATCCTGTAAAACTAACTGAATTTACACATAATACAAATTAAAATTCAAACAATAATTTTTTATCATCATACAATAATGCAGTATTATTAAAGAACGAAAATGAATTAAACTAATTAAAAAATACAACAAGTAATAATACTAATACTAATAACAATAATACTAATACTAATAATAATAATACAAACACTAATAATAATAATAATACAAACACTAATAATAATAATAATAATAATAATAATAATAATAATAATAATATTTAAGAAAATATTTAAAATTAGACTACTACTTAATCAAAAGGTAAAAATTTACTCATTTATATTCCTTCTGAAATTAATTAAATTCCTGAAAACGATAATAAAGAGGATCTTCTTAAAATTAATTTGAAAGAAGAATATGATATAAATATTTCTGAAAATAAAAAAAATACAAAATAAACGCCTGCACATAATAATATAAACAATTAATCCTTAAATAATTTCACAGATAATTTTTTTAGTTAAAATTGTAATCCTCATTCTTAATATAAAATTGAAATTTTTGAAAATAGTAAACATACAAAAGATATTTCTGGGCATTCTAATATTCCAATTTAGACTAATACAGAATTTAGTACTAACAATGAATAATAGATCATTGGAATTTAAAATAATTAAGAATTACTTTAAGAAAGAAATTAAGATAATAGTGATATTAGATTTTCCTTATTTTATGAAGAAATTGGTCATGATAAAAATATTAAAATTATACTTCAAATGTAACCAGAAAGTATATTTTAAAATATTTATTTTTTTAAATAATATATTATTATTTTTAAAATTTTATTTTTGTTTATATTTATATAATTATTTCTTTTAAATAATTAGATGTTATATATTCGTTTGATTTAGATTAAGAAAGCCTTTTATATATAACTAATTAAGATAGATAGCAATTTATTATATCTATAACAAAAACTTTATAATATATTAAATTTTTTGAAAATGATTTATTATAAAATTAAGTTGCTGAATTAGCTTATAAAAAAAGTAAAATTTTATTAAAGAATAAAAATATTAAATATATTATAAAAAGTTGTTGATTATTAAAAAAAGAAAGAAAAATTAAAAGATTAATAAATAAAATAAACTCAAAAACAAGAATAAGAAACAGAAGTTGAAGATATAAATATAAATTTGAAAATTTAATAATAAGATTCTAAAAATAAAAATGAATAAATAAATAAAGAATAAGAAAATAACAATATTCAATAAAAAGAGTAAAAATAATTAAATGAAATATAAGCATAGGGATAAAGTTACACACATTAGAGTCATTATACTAATTATAGTGTAAATTCATAAATATGTAACCAAAGTAGTAGAAACAATATTAATTTTAATTATTAATTTAGTTAAAAGGTAACTATTTATATATTTTAGTATTAAATTAAAAAAATATAAAAAAAGATTTAATAATAAAACTAATAATAACAATAATAATACTAATAATAAATAAGTATATAATAATAGCAATAATAATAGTAATCATCATAATAATAATAATATTAGATTTATTAATAATAATAATTTTAATAATAAGAAAAGCTTTAATAAACTTTAATAAATAACCTAAGTAACTAAAATTAGTAATAAATATTATTATAATTAACATATTCTTAACCTATTTAATAATTAGTATTAAATCCTATAGATTCTTTTATATATTATTATAGATTATATATGGTAAAAATATATATACATATATATTTATTTATAATTATAAACAAAAATTAATTTTAAAAAGCTTTTTTTATGTATTTAATTATAAAAAAGGATTCAAATATAGAATATTTTTAAAGTGAAAGTCAATAAGTTTTAGAGGCAAGATAATAAAGGGAAATATTAGAACTAATGCGACTACATTTAGTACAGAAAGATATGTTACTAACCTAAAAAATACAATAATTACCAAATTATGAATAATAATAATAATAATAATAAAGCAATTTATAAAATTAAATATTAAATAGTCTTTTTTATAAAGAAAATAATAATATAAATAATATTTGTCATGCAAATGGTAATGATAATTCGCTTATAAATATTTCTTAAATATCAAATGTAAATGATATATATGATGCTAATTAAAATAGCTAATAATTTCATAGTATGGATAGTGAATTAAATCTTATTTTAAATAACGGTATGTTTGCAATTAATAATATTGTGTAGCCTGAATTTATAACTTCTCCCTAAAATATAGAATAAAATATAAATAACTAAATAAATAATATTTAATATAATATGGTAAATACAAACAATAACATAAATAGTATTAAAAATAATAATAATAATAATAATAATAATAATAATAATAATAATAATATTAATTCTAATTCTAATAATAATTTATAGAATAATTTTATTTAAATTTAAAAGATTTAAAATAAATTTAATGGTCTTTAATAATAAACTCCAACATAAAATTCTATTAATTTTATTCATGAAAATAAATTTTTTAAATCTTAAAGAAAAAAAACGAAAGCAAAAACTAAATCTAATTATCAAATTCTTAATTACAAATTGTTAAATTGTAAACATCTGTTTAGTCTAATTTAATTAATAATAATTAAATAATATAATAAAACAATTTATAAATTTAAAATAAAGCACAATAATAAAATTAATAAATGAATTCCTGTAAAATGTGAATTATAAAAAATTTAATCCAGATAAAAATAATAGTAAAATACTCCTCCTTTTATGGTTTAATCTGCAAATGGTGATTATTAAAATAATTAATAAATTGAATATACTGTGAATAATAATATGTAGTATATTGATTAAGACTTTAATATGTATATATTAAACAATAATTAAAAATAAGAGGTATAATAAATTTCGAAATAAACTAATATATAAAGTTACTAATGTTAATAATAAAATTTATTGATTAATTGTAATTCAGATAAATAAAATGCCAATATATTATAGTCTTAATAATAAAATATATAATAAAACTTAAACGATTAAAAGTAAGAATTAAACTAAGTAAATAATAAACAAAATACATAGTAATAATTATATTAATTATAATAATAATAATAACTAGAATATTTAAAACAATTCTAATTACAATAATAAATGCAATAAATATAATAATTTTAATAATAAAAAGACTAATAAGATAATATATAAAAATAAGGAAATTAAAATTCTTAATAGATTCAAGAACCTTAAAAAAATAAAGAATAAACACAATAGTAAATGTATAATATACAATAAATTAATATTTAATAAAATTAATGTAATCTATAATAAAGTTAAATAAACTAAATTGCTAATATTTAATAATAATAAACGTAAGCTCCAGTATAAAACTAATAACAATAACCTTAATAACAACAACAATACTAATAATCATAATCTTAATAATAATTCTTATAATAATCATAGCATTCATTTTCTTTATCTAATAATTTAGTATAAAATTAATAACTATAATTGCAATAATCATTAACGGTTTTGCCTTAACAATAATAATAGTAACCATAGTAATTAAATATCTAAATACCTATATAATAAAATAATTCACAATAATAGTAAGTAGTTTTGCCTCTTCAATAATAAAATTAAACTTAATAGTAATAGGGATAGTTCTCCCCATAATAATAAATATAATAACTTTTAACTTATTAAATATTACAATAACAAGCTAATTAATTATCTTAACAATAATTATAATAATAGCCTTAACAATAACCTTAATAATAATAGACTCTATAGCAATAGCCTTACTAATAATAAAATCAATAACCGCCATAACACTAATAATAAACTTAATCATCATTTATATAGTAAATATAAAGTAATATTTAAAATTAATAGTAAAGTTAACAATAACATTATTAACCGTTTTCTTATTTATAATAACATAATAATACACAAGCAAGTTATTTATAATCATAACTATTATAATAATTACCTTTATTAACGCATTTTTAATAATAGTTATAAAACAACATTTCTTAATAATAATAGTAATAAAACTAAACTTTCTAATAATAATATTAATAGTAGTAATAGCTTTAATAACAAAATAATTAAACTTAAACAAATTCTTAATTTTAATAATAGTAAAACAATTCAACACCATCTTAAATAAGTTTTAACGAAAACTACTAATAAAAAAATAATAATAATTAACAACTAAATTTATAAAATAATTTTCCATTAGCATAAAATTAATAGTAATTACAAGCACAATAATAAAATCAATAAATGTAAATAAATTCCTAATAATTATCAATATAAATATCTCCGAATCATGCTCTTTAATAAAACTTTACATAGAATGTTAATTCGTCATTACCATAACTAATACAATGCATACCATAAAATTAGCAATAGTAATAAACTCAATAATAAACATAATAAATATAATAATAGTAGTAAACTTAAATTTAATAATAGTAATAAACTTAAATATAATAACAATAATAGTCTTAATAATAATTATAACAATAATTATCGCCTTAAACAACAAATTTATAAAATTAAAATTAATAGAACTCTTAAAGTTAATTTTAATTAAATAATTAAGTATTAAATTAATAAATAAATAATTAACCAAATTAAACGGCTACATAATAATAATACAATTAACAATAATAAATATAATCATAATAAACAAAAGAATAAAGTTAATAATAATCTAATTTTATGAATTAAATTCATTAGACATCTTCTGCTGCTATAAACACTTAATCAGAAATTGATTATAAGTAATTCTAAGAGGAGCCTCTTTAATAAAAAACATAAAAACATAATCCTTAAATGGTTTAAAAAAAACCTTTTTTCCGTTCTTGTAGTTCATAATAATCTCATTTACAAAGATAACCTATTCATTAATCAATATATAATTACTAATAAAGCAAGGATAATTTTAACTTTTTTAATTAATAATATTAATCTAATTAAAACCCAAATAATGTTTTAAAAACAACAGAAAACGAGCAAACTTTACACGAAAAATATCAAAGCTATAATTAAAATTATTAAAGAAATGCCTTAATTCAATTTTAATTTTCAAATTTGTATAAAAAAAATCAAATTAATAATAATGATAATTAAATATCTTTTAATTAGTAATAATTTAAAAATATCCAATATTAGTAATCTAATTAATATTACTAATATCAATAATAACATTACATTAGCTAATAATAATAACAAAAACCTTAAAAATAATAATAGTTTTCTTTATATAATAGGAATTAATAGAATTCTTTTTAAAGAAATTCATTATAAGCAATGAATATTCATGAAAAAAAATAAAAAATTAATAATAACAATAATACTAATTCTAATGAAAAAAATATTATACAAAATAAAATAAATTCAAATAAAAATTAATCTCCACCTCGCCCTTAATGTACAGGAAATTTAAATATTCCTTTTAAAAATTAATTCAAAAATAACATTAATAATGAAGTAAATGATAAAAAAAATGAAACAAATATACTTAATGTATTAAAAAATGAATAATTACATTAAAATACTAACGATAATAATGGAACTGAACTTAATTAATCAAATGAAGAAGAAAAATTTTAATAATAATAATAATTTAAAAAAAATGATGATAATAATAATACTAAATTTTACAATTGGATTGAATAAGGGATCGTTTCACCTAAAAATTCAAATCAAATTTCCTGTTGCAAAAATAAAAGTTAAATGAAAAGTTTATAAGATATTTAAAATTTGATTAAATCTTTATAAGTAAAAAAATTAAAAAAAAAAAAAAAAAAATGTTTAAATATTAAATAAAAAAAGTTATAATAATTAAAATAAGGTATAACAAAAGATGATTAAATTGTTAATGAAAAATAAGAATTAATATATTTAATTTAAAAAAGTTTAAAATATTTAATGCCTAATTAAAGTATTTAAGAAAATGGTTTATTTGATATATATCTAGAAAACGCAATAAAACAATTTTAGAAAGAATTAAGTATTAATTAATATGCAATAATTGACGATATATTGATAAAAAATATTATATGTAAAAATTAATATTTATATATATATATATATATATATATATATATATATATATATATATATATATATATATATATTTATTTATTATTCTAAAAATTATAAAATATTATAGTTGAAATAAATAAAAGAATAAATAATAAAGCATTAAATTCTTGTGCTAATATTCGTAAAAATAAACTTTAAGAATAAAGAATAAAGGTTATTAATTAATCAGGAGAATTTTTAGATTGAAAATTAAAAAGAAAAATAAATGAATTTTTAATTTATAATTATTATTTCAAAAAAAACATATAAAATATATATATATATATATACATTTATATATGAATCATTTAAAAAAAAAAAAAAAAAATATATATATATATATATATATATATATATATATATTTATAAATATATAGTTTTTTAATTAAATAATAAAAATATAGGATATATTTAATAATATTTTAAAAATATTTAAATTTACAAATCTCACATTTAAAATAAATAATATATTTAATTTTTTTTTAAATTAATTTCATTTAATTATATTTTTTAATTTACTAAATTCTTTTTCAATAAAATTTTGTATTATTTATGGTTGCCATTCCTATATTCTAATAATAAAAAATTAATTAATATTAAATATTTTATAAATATAAATATATTACAGCAAATTTAACAGGATTTTTCTAAACATTTAAATCTACTATTTATATCGTCTTATTATTAAATAATTTTAGTTTTTTTTATTAAAGTTAAATTATTAGTCTAATTCTATTTATAAGTGATTTCCATTTTTTATAAATTATCTTAGTTCTATTAAATTTATATATTAGTTATTTATTCTAAATTTTAATTTTATTATTTAGAATTATTTGTTTCTATTTTTTATTTCTACAAATTATCTTATTTAATTTTACTTTAAATTTTAAAAATTTCCAAGTCTTTTAATTCATTACATAATTAATCAGTTTAAAAATAAATATCATCGTTTTAATTATTTTTTTCATTTAAATATGTTTATTATTTTAAATCATCATTATCACTATAATCAAAATCAAAATTAACTTATTAATTTTAATTAGGGATATTATTTAATTATTTTTTATTTTATTTTTTTTTAGATTCAAATTCACTATTATTTTGTTATTTCTAATCATCATCAAAACTAAAATTTAAATCTTAAGCTTCATATTAATTTTTTTAATTGTATTTTTTTTATTAATTTTCTTTTGATTTTTATTTATTTATTAAATCGTCTTCCTAATTATTTTCTTCTTTTTAATTCTTATCTTATAATTAATTTTATTATTTTTCTTAAAAATCTAATAAATATTATTATTATTAGTCTGAAAGAGGTATATTATTATCATTTCCATATACATTTTAATAATTGATTTCATCTTAAATGTAAAAAATTCCTTTTTTATCCTAAAATTCAATATTTTATTATTATTTTTTAATTATTTCTTCAGAATTTAACTTTTATTATTTTTCAAATTAAATTCTTTAATTTTCCTCTTCTAATCTTTTAAATTCTGAAAGAGCTCTTTATTTTTCTCTTCTAATTTTTTCTTCTTATAAATTTCTTTCTTTTTTATCTACCTCGCTTTCCTCCATTCCATTCTGCCTTAAATATTCCAAAGAAAGCTTAATTGCAAGTTTTAATTCTTCTTCTTCTCTTTCTAGTCTTTTTAAATATTCTTGATACCATTTTAAACTCTCTATAATAGCCATTTCATATTCATAATCTTCTTATTCTTTTAATTTTTAAACTTTTTCCATTCTTTCTTTTTCTTCTTAAATAGAAAGTTAAACTATATCGTTTTAATCAATTTTTCTATTTATAACTTTCAATAATTTCTAATTTCTTTAGATCATCATTTATTCAAAATCAACATAATTAAAATAATATTAGAAAGTCTTGAAATGAATTTTCTCTTCTTTTTATTACATTATATTTTAAATTTCATCTAATATTTAATCTTAGTTTAATTAATATTCTTTTTAAATATATTTTAGTTCATTTTAAAGTAATTCCTTGTATTATTAATAAACTATTTATTTTTAAGAATCGTTCGAATGTTCAGATAAAAATACTAAGCAATTTTAATCAATAAAAAAAGATATTTTAATAGTGTATTTCTAATCAGTTACATATTCAATAAGTGATTATTTAATTAACTTATTTTATAAATAATTTAAAAAAATATATAAATTCATATATATATTAATGTATAAATAAAAAATAAAATATATATATATAAATATATATATATTTATATTTAAATTACAATTTAATCTTATTTATTTTCTTTTTTTTAATTCATTTATCAATTTTTATTTTTATATAAATATTTTTTTTTTAATGAAATATATCTAATATATTTTATTTTAATATTTGTGATAGATTATTTATTTAATTTTTTGTTAATTATCTATAATTAAAAAATTGAAGTTAATAATAAATTTTTTTAAAAATATATAATAGATAAAAAAATAATTTATTTGTGATAAAATAAATATTATAATAAAATTACACTTATAAATACTAAATAACAAAATATATTTTATTTAATATTTTTTAAAATATAAATTTATTTATATAATTTCTTTATTAAATTAAAATAATATATTTTATTTATTTTATCATATTTATATATTTATTAAAATTTTCTAACATAATTATTATAATAAATAACTTAACCTTATAAGAATATTTGATTTATAATTATTTATAACTTATAAGTTATTAATTTTTTATTATATTTTTTTAATATTATTTTGAAAAAATTATTGTATTTTCACTAAAAATTAGGTATTAAAAAATTAATAGAATTCAAATTTTGATAAATATACTAAAAATTCATAGCTAAATAATGAATATAATTACATAATTTTTAAAAATTTTTATCACTATTAAAATAAATATAGTGTCCTTACTTAATAAAGTTATTATTGTCTTCAAATTATTACATTATTTAAATAACTATGTTCATAATACATTAGCAAATATAAAAAATATCATATTTTTAACATACAAAATAATCTAAGCAACATATTTTAGCTAAAAAAACACATAATTATTACATAAAATTATAAAACTAAACTTTATCTTTGAACGAGTATATATAATAAGATAAAATATCAAAAAATGTTACTTCTAAAATTTCAAATTATATCAAAATTAAAGTTTCTAATTCTTTCATATTTATTTAATCTGTAGAATAACTATTTGAAGCAATTTATTATTATATATCATATAAACTAATAATTTATTCTTCTTCAAGTTTTTAACTTATATTTAAACAAGAAATAGCTAATATTTCCAAATCTGATGTTTTTTGTGAATTTATACATTTAAAAAAATACATATTCATTATGTTTATTGTTCGAAAAAATGTCTGGTCTTTAAGTTTAAATAATATACATATTTTTAAAACCCAATCAACTGTTTATGAGTATTAAAACGATGAAATTATATGATTTTATAAGAAATTTTATTTATTTTTGAAATGCTTTTTTTTTTTGTATTAAATATATATAAAAAAAAAAAATATTACATCTTTATATGATTAAAGAATTCTAGCCTAATATATTTATTCATTATGTTTTTTCTTTTAAGAAGAAGTTATTTTTTTTTTTTAAATTAATTTAAAATCTATTCATTTTGATTATTTATTTACATTATTTATTGTTAATATATTTTTTTTTTAGATATGTACACTAAAACTTTATTTTTATTAAAATTAATATATAATAAACTTATAATTTCTAATAATAAAAAATAAAATTTGAGTTTCAATTTAAATAAAATAAACAAAATATTATAATAATAATTTCTTTTAAAAAGATTAATCAAACACATAAAAAGTAAATTCTGTAAAATCTAAACAATCAAAAATAATTATACTATTAATAAGAATAATATTTTAATGAAAATTCTTTATATTTTAATAAATTCTTCATTTAACAATAATAATAATCGGGAAGACAAAAATAATAATAAAAAAAATAAATTTCACTAAAGAAAATAGTAATTACACAGATATCCTTTCTAAAAATGGTTTAAAATCAAACAAAATATAGAAGCTATATTTAAGTTTAAAATTAAGATTTTTCCTTTGAATCAAACAACGAGTATTTATTAAATTTGTTTTTTATTAAAGTAAAAAAAATAAAAATAATAAGGGCAAAATTAAATGGATGTATAAAATAAGATTTTTAAAAATAGAAAAAGTTGTAAACTTAATAATTTTTTATTGTAAAGATAAAAAAATACTTAAGAAAAAAAATAAAGATTTATGGAGCGGGAGGGGGGGTATATATAATAAATTCATAAAGCTATTAAAATAAAAAATTATTAGAATACTTTAAAAATAAGTAATTTTAATTATTATGCTAAAAAAAATTATAAAACTAAATAAAAGTAAATTTAATTATTAATAAAAAAATATATATATATTAATAAATAAATATATGCATATTTTTTATTTTGTAATATATTTAAATAACATATAAATATTAATGTAATATAATAAAAATTAAAATAATTATAACTATAATTACAATTATTCATAAAATTTAATTGCTTAAAGGTTTATAATAAATACGAAAATAAATTTATCAATATAATTCTAAAGCAAAGTTTTTTAAAAAATTAAATAATTTTTTTTTTATAAAATTAATTAAGTTAATGATGACTACAATTTATTATATTAAAGTATTTTTAATATATATAATAAAAAAATATATAAGATATTAATAAAAATGTTAATTTATAAATAAGTATAAATAAAAATAAATTATATATTTATAATAAAATGATAGATAATTTTTTGATTAATTAAAAAATTCATATATAAAAATAATTGTAAATAAATATATTTATTCTTAACATTAATTTTTTTATTTTGTATTTATTAATGTTTTATTTAAATAAAGTTAAAAAAAAATTCAACTAAAATTTAAAACTTTTACAAAATCTTTTAAATTGACTAAAAACTTATCAATATTCATTCCATCTATTTTCAACTGACAATCTTTTAGTAAAACTTAGAAACATTTATTTGGTACATTTGGATTTTAAACAAGGAATTAATTTTAAACCTCTTCAAAAATCTATTAAAATAAAAATAAACTAAAAAAATAAAATATAATATACTTTAGGGCAAAAAACAATAAAAGAAAACAAACATTAAGCAATTTTGCTAATTAATAAATTATTATTAGCAACTTTAAATGAAAGTTCGAGCAAAACCTAAATATATTCTTTAAAAAGAGGTTGACCTTAAGCATATACTTATTAGACATTTTTATCTATATCATCACATAATTTAATATTAATCTCCTCAACACAAAAAACACATAAGTTTTAAATAATTTGAGAAGTATTGGTAATCAATGTATCATCTTAGAACATACTTAAGCTTCCATATTTGAAATTTTCTTAAGTAATTTTTAGCAAGAACTCTTTACAAATTGCAAAAATATTAATAGTATAAGATTAATTCATAAACGAAAAAACTGTTTCCAAAAATTATTCAGAAATCAAAAGTAAGTTTGATAAAAAAACTTGAGCTAATTTTGGATATTAAAATACATAATTAAATAAACTAAATTTCAAATCTAAATTTATTTATAAATAATTAATAAATGAAGAATCTCCAAATAATTAAAAAACAGAAAATTTTATCAATTTGCTTGTAATAAATTTATTTAAAATTCTCCAATATAACAAAACTAATTTTATGTTATTATTATTCACTAATTCTTTCGAAAACTATTCCAATAAAAAACTACCGTATTTATTTAGAAAAACTGAAAAATCTCTAAACATTAAATACCCATAATTTTAATTATTTAAAATTGTTATTCTTTATGTTTTGTTATCAATTAAATTTGTTAATAATTTTAAACCAGGAATCATTAATTCTTAATCTAAACCAAATCTTAATAAATTTTCTGAATATATAAATTTGTATAAGTTATAGCTTTTAATTTTTAATAAATAATATAAAATAAATTTTTTATAAAAAAATAAAATATGTTTTTACGTTTTCTTTAAAAAGACTCTATAAATATTGCCTACATCTATATTTTAAGCTAGTCCAGATGCATCATAAAAAAATTTAATCATTTCATCCTATTTAATTTTTTTTTTTCATTCTTAATTTAATATTTATTTATTTTTTTTTTTTTTTAAAAAAAAAAAAAAAAAACCTTTTAACAATTTTGTTAATTAAAAGTAATTTATTGCAGTATCTAATCTATACTTCTAACATAATTATCGAATTAATCATCCATGTAAACAAAAGCAATTAATTAATAAACTTTAGTTCTGAGCTTATAGAACTCTTTTTTTTATAATTATCCTTTATTTCCTTGAAGTAAAAGGTTAGATAATTATTATATCAAAGGCATTTGTTTGAATGTACTTCTACTTACATTATGTTTTAATCTTTTTTAATATATTATAATTTATTTTATTTAAGAATAATAATAATATAAAATATTATTTTTTATTATTACTTAACGATAATAAAATTAATAACATGAAGAGAATATTCTAAAACCTTTTTATTATTAGTTTGTAGATCAAATTAAAGTTTAGCTAACATAGAATCAATTAATTATTAGAAACTATTAATATTTAAAAAGCTAGCAACTGTTATGAAATACTTTTAAAGATTAAAAATAAAATAATAAATATTAAATTTTACTTTTGTTGTCATTGGGGTTGTATCGAAATTCTTTATATCATCAGAATCTAAATCTTTTTTTTTTAAAAAAAAATTTATAGTATTAATAATTTTTGTTAAAAAAATATACTTCCTAAAGTTTTTATTATGTATTCTTCCATAAAATAAAGAAACGAAATTTCTGTATTTTCATTTACTATATTACTTATCTTTTATATAATATAATTTTTTTTTTTTCAAAGAATAAATACAAATCAATTTTTTTGTTTAAAAAAGAAAATATATATTAATTACTAAGTTTAAAGGATGGTTTATTTATGTTTAAATAACTTTGAAATATAAACCTAAAATTTTACCCATATAATTATATATTTAATTTTCATTCTATCCATATTTATTTGATCTATCTTAACCTAAACCAGAGACTAAAACAAACTAAGTACTTAATCCAATACATATACATAATTTATCTATATTATTTTTACATAATAAAAAAATTATATTTAATTATTTTAAATATATAAAAATACTGTTAATTGTTTTCATCTAAAATTAATCTATTGGTTATTATTAACTCAATAAATTATAATAAATATCAAAGCAATTTTAAATTGCATTACTTATTATTTGTAAACAAGGTTCAATTGAATTTTCGGCTATATAAAATATTTATTCGAAAAATATTTTCAAGGCTTTTCTTAACTTTTTGAAACCTAATATATATATATATAAATTTAATATATAACAAATATATTTTAATTATAATTAACTTAAAAATTATGTATCTTCGAAAAACTCATTGCAAGAAATAATACTTCTTTCAACAAAACATTAAACCAACTATTTTTATTATTTTTAATATTTTTTTATATATTTTATAAACATTAGGAATAAATTTAGTAATTTCATCTATAAAGCTTTTAGGTACTTTCACATTTTAGGATATCTTAATAATTTTTTTCCATAAGCTAAGTATTTTAGGTATGATTTCTTCATTAATCTTTATAAATATATTATATAATTAAATTAAAAAAAATAATAGTAAACATTAAATTTCTATTGATTCAAAATATAAATGGAAAACAATCCTAAAATATTAATCCATTAAAGTCCTTAATTTTCAACTTTTCTTAGTTTTTTTAAACCAAAATTATTCTAAATAAAATATATTTAGTTAAATATGTTATTAATTTAATAATAATATAAATAACCATCATTCTATTGCAATAATCTATTATTAAAATATTATATTCTTCATTAAAACTTTTAATTGATTTAATAATTTCAGACATCCCTTAGCATCCATAATTAATAAAAGCGTATTTAACTTCTTTATTTTCGAATTCAGCATGAGTAATTCTGCAAGAAATTATTTTACATAAACATTTAAGCATCTATTTAATGATATAAAATTATATATATATACAAATATTAATATATATAAATATTAATACATAAATATAAAAATATATAAAATATATATATATATATATATATATATAATTTTTTATATATATATTTATATATTTATATATTTTTACATTGACACTTATTTCTGAATTATTTTAAATGAATTGATTTGTTAAAACATAAAATGATTCTAGAAATTTAAAATCAACTATAATTTTTACTATTTATTCTGGAAACTAATATTTAAAAATATAAAAATAAAAATATTATATTTTACTGTAATCAATTAATTATCTTAATAATCTTAATCTGTTTCAAAATCATAATATGAAATATTGTAATTGAAAGATAAAATAGAATAAAAAAGATTTATGTATTCTTTAAATAAATTAAATTAATCATTAGTAATATTTTGCTTATTTTATATTTATTGCATAATTATATGTAACTTTTAATAAGCAAATAAAGCTATAGGTGATAGTCCTGAAGATTAGAAGCTTAACATAATTCTTCTATACATAATATATCCCACACTTACAGCATAATTGGAAATATTTTAAATTATATAATCAAAAATTTATATTCCTAATAATTCTTTAGAAGGATTCTTTTTATTTAAATAAAGAATAAAAATAAATTAAAAATATTTATAAATATATATTTTTATATATATATATATATATATAAATTTATATATTCTTTTATTTTTTATTTATATTACTAATTCAACTAAATTTTATATTATTTCTATCATATTAGAATGATAAATTTAACTATTTAACTGTTCTCCCCATAATACTTTTACAGCGACTGAAACTAAATAACAAATTGATTTCTGTGTATATTTTTTTAACTATCTATTATTCTAAACTAAAAAGTTAATAAAAAATTTAAATAATTCATCATGAGCGATTATTTCTGGTTGTTGATTTTCTTATTGAACCTAATATTAAGATAAGCTCATATAAGCAAATGTCAAATTATAGCTGTCATAAGAATTTATCAAATTTTAATTTTCATTCATAAGTATTTTTTAAAGAAGTTCGCAAAAGACAAATATTGTGTTGTCTGAATTTGTTTATTATATTAATTAAAATAATAAAGGCATGTTTTTCCAATTTAAAAGAAATTAGTTTATTTTATCTTCGTGTATTTTCTTTTCCTTTTATTATTTTTTTTTTTTTTTATATATATTTTAGAATTCTTTATTTTAAATATTTATACTTTTTTTCAAATTTTACTTGCATATTTGTCGAATTTACTATTATGTCACAAGACCAATCAAAACTTGAAATATCAACTTATGAGTTTATCATTGTATTTTTATAAGATTTTTTTTTTTTTTAATATTAAGTAAATAATAAATATATTATTCTTTTTATTTAATTTACTTAATAATATTTTATTTATTTGCTTTTAAATAAGATATATAAACAATTGTATTTCTTTTTTTCTATTTTTTTGAAAAAATAATAATAATATTTTATTGAAAAATAATAAAATAATTTTTTATGTATCTTATTTTATATAAGTATTAATAATAAAACTTATAGCATTTTTATTAATAATTTAAAACTAAATATATAATTAAATAATTTATTTTTATACACATTATTAATAATAAAATGGAAGAATAACTAAATATATTTTTGAACATAAAAATTGAAAATACAGAAGAAGATATATAGAATTTATCAAATGTTCTTAAAAATAGCAGATCATTAATAACTTAATAAAATGAATAAGTAAAATAATATTTTAAGTTATTTATATTGAAAAAAAATACCTTTTTATATATCTAAAAGAATAAAATGATTAATCTATTGTAATAAAATTCAGAAAAGATATAAAAATAAATTATATAAATTCTTAAAATAAATGTTTTTAACAAAAACAATATTGATAGTTTTTTTTTTTAATTTATTGCAAATTTGATTACTAAAAATGAATAAAACAGAGTAAATTTATAAAAAAAATGGTTAAATATATTAACAAAAAAAACTATTTTAAAGGATTATGTAATATAAAATTTATTCGTAAGCAAAAATAAATTTGATTTAGTTAAATAAATGTATGAATAATCATTTTAAAATGTAAAGCTTTAAAAGTTTTCTGCGATTTTTCTTTACAATTTAATAATTGGTATAAAAAAAAACTAAATTTAGAATTAATTATTATTCACATAAACAGTAAAAATCTTAAAAAAGTATTTTTTTTAAATAAAATATTAAAATCAAATAAAAAAATATAGTTTTAATTAATATTCAGATAATTATTATTAACTTTTTTAAATACTTCTTAAAAAGAAATAGAAGAGAATATACAAATAAAAGAATTAAATTAATGGTTTTTATTATTATTTTCTAAACTATTTAATTATTTTTTTGATGAATTTTCTTTTTTAGAATACTTATATTAATTACTATTACTAGAAAATGAAATCATTGAAAAAATAAATTTCTAAAATTACTCAGAAAATCAAATAATAAAAATAAATTCAAATAAAAATATAGAAAAGCTAGATTTATTTATTTTTCATATTTCGTAAAAATTTATTGATGACAAAATAAATTGTTCTTTTGTAAAAAACTTAGAACCCACAAATATGGATATTCGTATTCTTTATTTGAATAAAATAGATTATTAATTTTAAATAACAATAAAGGATTTAGACTTTATTTATTCTTAATTTAAAAGCACAAACTAAACTTTATTAAATCTTTTGATGTAAAAAAATGTTTTTAATATAAAATATGAAGAAATAAATATATAAGAAAATGAAAAGTTAGTTTTTTCTTGTATATTGAATAATTTACATGATAAAATAAGACTTTTTTCAAGCATTTCTTTTTTAGGAGGATATAATTCATAATTGTAAAAATATTAAGAATAAAATTCTATATTAGAAGAAGTTTTAAAATTCTTTTAATATATGGGAAAATTAAACTCATAAAATTATGATCCAAATCTTCCTTTGATTTTGAAAAAAAATTGTTGTTTAAAATTTTTTTCTGTAGATAGTTTTTAGGATTTATTTACAACTATTTTGAGGTTTTTAACTAATGCAGTTCATATAAATAAATTTGCACAAGATTATATTTTAGATAATGATTATTTAACTTTGTGTTTAAGTTTTACTTAAATGGATGAGAATAATCCTCTGTAAAGAGAATGGTCTATTTTTTTTATTAGAAATATTTGCGATAGTAATGATAGGGTTTAAGAGGCAATTAAGAATTTGAAAATTTTAGATTTCGATAATAAAGCTTAAGAAATTTTAAGAAAATATTAATAAAAAAAAGAAGAATTATAAGAAATCAAAGATAATATTTTTCATAAAAATTGAAAATTTCTTTATGTTTTTTACTTTTTATATTTTTATAAATAAGTATAAAAAATTATTTTTTTATATAAATAAAAAAAAAAATGAAATAATAAAAAAATAATTTTCCTTTATAAAATTAAATTTTTACTTAAATTGAAGGATTAAATTAATATGATTTTTTATAAAAAAAAGAATTTTTGAATAATAAAAGTTCTGAATATTAAAAACATAAATTTATTAAAATATAGAAACTCCCAGAAAACCAAGTTTTATTCTAAAAATCACATAATGAAAATATAGAATCTTAAAGGAATATATTTACTGAAAAAACCAAAAAAATTTAAAATTAATATATAGAATTAAATACAGGACCTAAATTTTTCTAAGGAAAATTATTTCCTTATTCTATAGTTGGTTCTCCCAGAATTTTCTGTAAATAATTAAAAAAATTTGAAAATATGAAAAAAATTTTGGATAAAGACTAAACAAAAATTTCGAAACTAAATAATACTGAAGAAATTGTAAGTTTTTAAGAATAAAAATGTAGTTTTTATTTTTTTAAAAAATATATATTGAAAATAAATAAAATAATAAAAAAAGAAAATAATTTTTCAGAAATAAAAACTAATACTACAAAAAACTAATTTTTGCCTTTTAAAAGTTACTCAAATAATACAGGATAGAATTTAAACAAAAAACATAAAAAAAAAACTATTCTGAATTTACTTAAATAAGTAAAAATAACTTATTATATTAAATGGAAGCTACAAAAAATAGAATTTCATATTAAAAAGATACTCTAAATTTTTAATAATATAATTTATTTACTAAAGATAAAAGAATAATTGAAAAACATTAAAATTATGTTGATTTTTGTGGAAAAAAAATATAGGCAATTTCTTCTTAATAAAAAAGACTTTTTTCTGAAAGTTTAATGTATAATTCTTCCAAAATATTCAGAAAAAAAAAAGAAATGCAAATTGCTTGTGAAAGCTTATAAGAAAATAAACATGGTAATTATTTATGGTATAAATTGATAAATAAAGATGAAAAAGAATTTCGTTCTTAGGAAAAAATAAATAAAAGGGCTAACTTTTTATAAAAATAATCTCTAATAAATATATATTCTATGTAAGAAAATTAATAATTTTATTAACCAATAGAAATAATATAACAAAGTATTTAAGAATAAACTTATTAAAAAAAATAAAAAAAATTATTTAAAGAAAATAAAGCTTTATAATTATTAGCTCAATAAATTAATTAAAACAAAGAAAAACTTGAAAATCAAATAGTTTTTGTTAATAAAGAAAATATTGATTAATTAATCGTATTAATAAATATATTTATTTTTATAAAAAAATAATAATAATTCAAATAAAGATTAAAGGAAACAATATTTATAATTAAGAATTAGAAAAACTTTAGAATGATGGAAAAGAAAAAGATTATATTTACAATAAATTAGATTTCGAAAAATATGCATATTGTATATAAATATATATATGTATATATATATATATATATATATATATATATATATATATATATATGTTTTACTTAAATAAATAAAATAAAAAGTTAATGAAAATAAAGGAATTAATAAGGAAATTTTAAAATAAAATTAAAAAAAATAAACTAATAAAAAACTAATAAATAATATTAAAATAAAATAATATGAAGATATAATATAAGACATTACATTTAAAAAAAACTATAATTTAAAACAATTATCCAAAAACGGAAAAGAATTTTATAAAAATTTATGAAATATTAATAAAAAAAAAAAAAAAAAAAAAGTAAAATTTTATTATTTCATTTTTCATTTTTATTTTTAAAAATTTTCAAATTACCAATTTGAATTTTAATCTAATTCTTCTAATTAAATACCATCCCCATATCCAATATAACCCAAATTAGTAAATGATCTATCTACTAATTTATAATCAAATTTTTATTTACATTCTCCGTAAAAAGCATCATCGTCAGCACTTTATTCACTATTTACTGAATTATCTGCATCGTAAATGTCTGAATCTTGCGCCTCATTAGAGCTTAATTAAACTTCATCATAACTAAGAAGTTATTTTTTGGCCATATATCTTTGAAATTCTTAATCTGTATATTTAAACAAATAATTTGCCTTTGCTTTTAACCAACCAGATTCTAATAAAACTTATTGAGCAGAAGCCCTTTTCAATGGTTCACTTTTTAACATTACCATTAAAAATTAATTTAATAAACTAGCTTCATCTTATTTAAATAAATATCTAAAATTAAAAATAAATAATTTTTAATAATTTTTTTATTTAATTTATTAACTTTTCTATCAAAACATTTCTTAAAGGCCAATAATGTAAAACAGGTATTTTTCTTAAATTTCCTTAATTATCAAATATTTATTTAGATTTTTAACTTGCCATAGAAAACCTCTTAGGAAATTTTTTTATTAATTCTTCAATCTATATATATTTTATTATTATTTTCATATTTTATTATAAAAAACTAAAATTACTTGTGCTAAATGGTCTTCATTTTTACTAAAATTTGGATTTCTTCTTGGCTAAAATAAAAAATCTCCGGTTATCATTTCAAACATCATACAAGCAAAAGACCAAATATCAGTACTTGTATCATAATGAATACCTATAATAGACTTTTTTATTTTAATAATTAAATAAAAATGTATAAAAATATTATAAATATACTTCAGGACTTCTATATTATCTTGTTTATATTTTTGTTGCAAAATGATGATAAGTCCAGCATGCGTTTCCTAAGTCTGCAATTTTAACTTTTATATTTTCATCAATTCTTTCTCCTCTTCCACAATAACTATTTTTATTTTAAAGAAAAAATATATAATTAAATTATTTTTTATTTTACTTATCAAATTTATATTTTATTTCATCAGGAACATCATCTAATTTTTATGAAATTTCTTCATCTTATTATTATTATTATTATTATTACTATTATTATTATTATTATTATTATTATTATTATTATTATTATTATTATTATTATGATTTTATATTTTTTTATATTTTACTTTTATTCTACACTCCATTTATTTATTTATTATTATTATCTTTACAATTTTATTACTCACTGATTTACTTTTCTTCTTTCAATTTTTATTTTTTGCGTTTTTAAGCAGCTTTTTTTCGTTAATATTTTTTCTACTATTTTGTTAGAGCTTATTTTTCTTCATTATTTTAATTTTATTAATCTTAATTTTTTTCCTTATTTTCAGATAAATTATTATTATCAGAATTATTATTATTTTCAGAAATTTAATCTTAAAATAAATTTAAATCAGTTTCATTGTTTTTGAAATTGTCTTCTATATAAATTTTATGTTAAATTTAATATTATTTAATTCTTTCTGACATTTTTTTGCAATTTTCAAGTTATCCTTTTTCAACAATTTATTTCTTTATATTTAATAAAAAATATTGTTAATTTAAAATAAGTAATAAAAAAAGATAATAATAAAAAAAAAACATATATATACTATTTCATCCTATGTCAAACACACTAAAACATTTTCAGGTTTTAAATCCGTATGAATAACTTAACAAAACCTATGTAAAAAATCTAACCCTATAAGTACTTATTTTGCAATTATTCTAGCTAAATGAATTGGAATTCCTTTATAATTATATCTTTTAATAATTTCTAATAAATTAACACTCATAATTTCAAAGACCATACAAAAATGATTACCATAAGGTCCTTAATAAAGAAAAGAGTTTAATAATTAAATAATTTAACAATCATCTCTTGTAAAAGATTTTTTCTTAAGATCCTTTTAAAATATAATAATTAATATAAAATTATATATAAACTAATAAATATATAAATAAGTATATAAATATTTTTATATGTATATATAAATATATATATATATAAATATATATTATTTTTTTTATTATATATGTTATTTAATTACATTTTTATAATATTCTTTTAAACTTTTTATCCATTCCGGATTACTTGCTTATTTTGCAACTTTTTATAATATTTCGACTTCATCATATGCGGCTTCTAAATAATGTGGCGCACTTTTCTATATTTTTAATGCTACATATGTATTATATTTAAAATCTTTGGAAAGCCATACTGTTGAAAAGTGTCCCCATCCTAATTTTTAAATTATCACATATCTTTTTTAAATAACTTCTCCTACATGAACTGGATGATATCTTTTTATATTCTTTAAAAAATTAAAAAAATATAATTTTATAAACCCTCCTATATTATAGTCTTCTATTCCTTCATCTTCACTATCATTTTCTTCATCTTATACTTCGTTTTAATTATTTTAAAATTTAATTTGTTACATTTCTGATTCTTTTAATGGTATGTTTAATTAGTCTTCCATTTTAAATTTATTTATTATTTTGAATTTTTTTTCTTTTATTAATTTTTTTTATTAAAAATTTTTTTATTTATTTTTGTATATAAGATTTAATATATTCATTTTTTTAATTTTTAAATATATTTAAGTTTAAATTTTTATTTAACAAATATTATGTAAACGCAATTTTATTAATAAGCATATAGTATTATTTTATTATATATATATTTAAATTAATAATTATTTATTTTCTATATATTGAAATCTAAATATTTATATTTTATTGTTATTTGAATGTTATAAATTAATTTGTAAAATGATTTATAATAATTTTTATTAAAAAGAAATATTTTCAAATAAATTTATATAATAAGAAAAGTACAATTATAATAAATATATGAATAATTTATAATAAGATTAATTAAAATATTATATAAATTATAATCATTTTATTATATTTTATAATAAAAATATGTATTTTTTATAACTTTTAAAATTATAGTATTTTTTTATTTAGAGAGTATTTATATATATATATATATTTTTGTGTATTAAAAAATAATTTTATTTTTAAATAAAATTCAATTATAATATATTAAAAAATATAAAAATATATTATTTATTATAATATTTAAAAAAAAAATCTAAATAAAATTTATAAATTAATGTATAAATTTAGTAAATAAAATTAAGTTTTATTTATTATAAAATAAATATTTAAATTTATTTTTATAGTATAAACATAAATTTTGCAAAATCATTATTAAAAAATATAATTTATTTTAATAATTATATTTTATTTTTAATCTATTATTTTCTGAAATTACTCAAATTTAATATATTTAATATCTAAAAAATATTAAAAAAATAAAATAAATAATAACTAATAAATAAATAAAATAATTAAAAAAAAATTATTTATAAAATTGATAAACAATAAAAAAAAAAATTAATATTATAATATTAAAAAAAAATATAGATAATATATAAAATAAATTAAATATATTTATTATATTAAATATATAAAATATAAAATAATATATAATAATATAAAATAAAATATTATTATAAAAATGAAAAGATTTTTTTTATTTTCATAAAAATTCTTTAATAATTTCAAATCTTCAAATACACCCAAAATAATAGCTTTAGGATTATTATATTAATTTAACTAATAATATAAAAATTGGAATATAGTACATGCTGAAAACTCAGATAGATTTGATTCAAAACTTTAAGAATAATTCAAAAGAAAAATACCAGAATTAGATAACTTTTTGTAAAAATAAAATAAATATTTAATTTTATTTTAAAAAAATAAATACTTTTAAAAGTGATAATGTTATTCTTTTTACAGGAAATGCAAATCCTGAACTTTCTTAAGGTATATACAAAAAATAAATTAATGAAATAGTTAATAAACTAATTTATTATATATTTTAAAAAGAAATTGCTAAAATACTTGGAATTTAACTTGGTGCATGCACAGTTGGAAGATTTACTGACGGAGAAGTTAATATTCAAGTAAAAGAAAATACATATAATAAAAAAAATTATTTATATAAAAATAAAAAAAAGATAAATGAAAGTGTGAGAGGTAAAGATGTTTATTTAATTTAAGTAAAAAAATTAAAAAAATAATAATAATATTTAATTAATAAAAAGCCTACATGTGCCCCTGTAAATGAAAATTTAATGGAATTACTCCTTTTAGTTGCAACTTTAAGAAGAGCATCAGCCAGAAGAATTAATGTTTTAGTTCCATATTACGGTTATTCTCGTTAAGTTAATAAAATAAAAATAAAAAAATAATAATAAAAAAATATTATAAAAAAAGGATAGAAAAACATCTGCTAGAGTTCCAATTAGTGCAGCTGATGTAGCTAGATTATTAGAAATTGTAGGAGTAGATAGAGTAATAAGTATAGACTTACATTGTGGATAAATATAAGGATTTTTCGGACCCAGAGTACCTGTAGATAACTTAGAAGTAAATAAACTAATATAAAAATAAAATTAAAAAAAATAATAATAATAAAAATAAAAAAGGCAAATTTAGTAGCACTTAATTATTTTGTTTAATAAACTGATTTAACCTTAAATAATATAGTGGTTGTTAGTCCTGATGCAGGTGGTGTGGCCAGAGCAAAAAAATTTTAAGAAATATTAAATAAAAAGGCCAATAATGAATGTACACTTGCTATGATTATTAAATAAAGAGAAGCTCCAGGAAAAATCGCTTAAATGAATCTTGTAGGATCTGTAGAAGGAAAGAATGCAATTATTATAGATGACATGATTGATACTGCTGTATTTTATTTTAAAATAAATAATTATATTTATAATTTATTTATTCTATTAAAATTTTTTTTTTTTTTTTTTTTTTTTTTTTTAGGGAACACTTTGTGAAGCGGCTAAAACTCTCAAAGAATTTGGAGCTAAAAGTGTTAGTTGTTTTGCTACTCACGGATTGTTTTCAGGAAATGCTTTAAATAATATTAAAAATTCTAAATTAGAGAAAATTATTGTTACTAATACAACACCGAAAAAACCAGGAGAGGAAGAAATTGATAAAATTACAAGACTTTCTGTGGGTAAGATTTTTTTTTTATTATATATATATTTTTTTAAAAAAAGCTCCTATTTTGGCAGAAACAATTTATAGAGTTTAAAAAAAGTAATCTATTGCAGATTTATTTAATAGAACAAACATTAAATGATTTTAACTTTACTTTTATTATTAACAAAAGTTTTATGTCTTTTAAATTTTATTTTTTTAGTTTAAATAATTTTTATTTTATTTAATTTATAATATATATTTTTAATATAATAATATATATATTAATATCATCAAATAAAATATTTTTACTTTAATTAATAAAATAATTAATAAATAGAATAAAAAAATAATATATATATATATATATATATATATTTATTAATAAAAATTAGAATTCTTTATATATTATTACTTTTTTAATGTATACTTTTAAAATTATTCATTCTAAATCCCATACGTTTTTCATAACAGCTTCAAAATAATCATCTTTATCAACTGAAATACTAAAATTCTAAAAAAAAATTAAAATAAAATAAAACAGAATTAAAAAAATTAAAAACATGATAATAATTCTAAAAGACTTCTTAATTAATTTCACTATATTAATCAATATTACCCCAATTAATTATAAAATCATTCAAAACTTCTTTTTCAGTATTATATTTTTTAAGAACATCAGGATGTTTTTATTTTTTGAATAATTCAATTAATCCAAATAGTGTTATTTTTCCTAACTTTTCTTTAATTATCAAATAAGCTTTTTCAATTAAATCAAGTCTATTTTAATCTAATTATCCTCTTAATTAATTCAAAAACACTTAATAATTAATACTTCTATTTTAATTTTAATATTATAAAACTAATTATTATATATCCTAAAAAAGAATTAATAAATCAAGAAATAAAAAAATATAAAAAATTACTTAATCTTAAATACTAAGTCCAAAAATTTTAAAAGCTTAAATAAAAAGATTATTAGGAAGAACTTTTAAATTTTATTTATCTAATCCATAAAAAACATGAGCAAAAGAGCTAAATCCATAAGGACCTCTTATTCTTAATTATCTTTTTAATTTCACAAGTAAATCTTCCGATGTAGGAGCATTTTTTTATCTAACAAAAGTATCATCGAAATTCGATTCAGGTTAAAAACTTGTAAAGACTTTAAAATGATTAAAAAGATGTTAATTTTTCATTGGGGTTTCAATGGTTTTTCTCCCACTTTTTTCAGCTATTAAATTTTAAGTCTTATTATGTGTTAAATAAGAATGGCAATATATTTCGTATTCTAACCCATATTAATTATCATAAATTATTTAATCATTACATGCTAACCATTAATTAGTTATTACATGTTTTATTAAAACAGGTTCATGTGCGTTTACTGGTTATCCTTTCATTTCGAATCTTAGTTTAGGATCTGAATATTCAAATACCCAAACTGTACTAATTGTATCTTGGTTAATAGCACATACTTCTTATTTAGCAGAAAATTTGGCAGATTTTTAAGGAGTTATGTGGCAACTGGAAATAAAAAGCTTAAGTTAAAATAAAAGTAATGTTTTATATATAAATATATATATATATATATATATATGTATATATATATATATAATTTTTTCATTTATTTATATTATTATTTTTTTTTATATATTTATATATTTATATTTTCATATTTTTATTAATATTTGCATTTTTTATTACATCTTTGTCAAATAATCTTTTGTTTATTTATATTCTAAATTATTATCCATAATGTATTATATCATCTTAATAAAAATCTTATTCTTTATCATATCTTAATTTCGTTATTAAAAAAATAATATATTTTTATATATATATTTATGTATATATTTTTAATTTTTATTTAAAAAAAAAAAATTACCTTTATAATTCAAATACTGATCTAACTTATGGTTTAAGGTTTTAGGTTACACTTATAGCATAAGCTTCATTTTAACCAACTATTTTATCATAAATATCACATGCTATTATTTTGTTAAGAATAAAATAAATATATGTTTTTTAATCAACCTACAAATCCTTGCGCACTTAAACTTTAAAGCATTATTCTATCTCCAAATCTTATTAATCCATCTTAAGAATAAGTTAATGCAGCCTAATATTCATTTATATATTTAAATTAATATTTTTTTTATAATTTATTTTTTAAAACATCATTTAAGCTTGTGTATAATTTCTCTTCTTATTAAGTGCTTACAAGGTTTTATCTTTCTTTTTTTCTTAAATATTCTTTCATTCTATTTTATTTATTTTTTATTTTATATTTATTTATTTATATTTATATTTATATTTTACTTATATTCATCTAATTCTTATTCTTCACTCCAATTACCTATTCTACAAGTATATTAATATTTACTATCTACATTATAGTTGTGCATTTTTTTTTATGTTCCTTTTATTTGTTCTTTTTTTTTTTAAACTATTTTTATCTATATATATTTAAAAAGAAATTTTAAATAAAATTATTGAAACTGATTTTTAATAAAATAACATTAAATCTTTTAGTGATTTTTTTTTTTTTTTAATAAGAAATTGATTTTTAATAATTTTACTATTTTTTTTTTTTTAAAAAAAAAATAATAATATTTAATAAATATCTAAATAATCAATTTTATTAATATTTCAAATAAAAAAAATACAAATGAATATAAAAGAATAAATTTATGAATGTATTACATTATTATAAATAAATATTTAATTTTTTTTAAATAAAAAGTAAAAACTATTGAATTAAATAAAGCATTAAGCGGTTTGGAAGGTAAAGGAATGTAAAATTTAGCATTTAGAATATATAATTCTAGGTATAATAAATATTAATAACGGAGAAAATAAATAAAATATAAAGAAAGGAAGCATGGGAAAAAGTAAAATTGAAAAATACTGAAAATTAAAAAAAAATATAAGCAAAGAATTGCATTTACATTTAGAAGATTATATAAAGAAAGTAATTAATTTATAAAAAAGGAATTTATATTAAAAATATTTATTGTTTGATATAAATAATAATAGAAAAAAGATGAATAAAAAATAGACTGTGAATAACTTTAAAAATTCAAAACAAGAGAAAAATTTTTAAATTAATAATCAGAAATAAACTTAAATAAAATTGTAAAAAATAAAAAATACGTAAAAATAATAAAAATGTTAAAATAAACAAATAAAAAATAAAGGAAGATTAAATTATAGTTATTAAAGGATTAAAAAAATAAATTAATATAATTAAAAGCTGTTTAAAAGAAAGTAATTAATAAGACAAAACTTAATGAATTTTTTCTTTAAAATTAAAAAAAATTCATATTAAAATTAAATATATATGTAAAATAAAAAAAAAATTAAAAATTAATATATAAATTCTATTATAAAATAATATTCACAAAATTACAAACAACTTTATTAATTAAAACATTATTAACGGCAGAAATTCATTTAAACTAAACTCAAAATATTAATTTTCCTCTTAATTTAATTAGTATTAACTGTTTAATTAATAAAAACTTCCATAAGCATCTTTAAAAATTAATTTATTTTAACTAATGTAAACTTTAAATTATAAAATATAATTTTCTTTCTACAAGCTTTTCAATAAGTTACTATTAATCAATATTTCCAATATAGAAATATTTTTGCACCCTAATTTTTTACATAAATTTTTATAACCAGACCCAGGAGCTACTGTAAATTTTAAATAATCATAAATAAGTTCTATCATAATATAGTTTTTGGGAATTCAAAGAAATTAGAATTTAATTAAATAAATTAAATTTATATCTAAAATGGTATTTAAAATAAAACCAATCATAAAATTAGAAAACTTTTTAAACTGAAATTTTATCCTATATATAATTTTAGATTTCAGTTTATTTGGAGTTTTTTTCTTAATTATTTATAATTTTTATTTAAGATAAAAAGTTTTAATTAATATTTGATAATTTTAAATTTATTCTTGGAATTTTTTATTTGTTTTTGTTTAAAAATATTAAATTATTTATTTTTAAACTTTAAATCATTTAATTAAAACATTGAGTATTTAAAAATTCTTTAAGATATTTTTAATTTATATAAACTTAAAATTATTAAGATATTTTTAATTTATATAAACTTAAAATTATTAATTTATGAGTTCTAATTCATTTTTTATTTGTTAAACATTATTTCGCTTAATATTTTTTTTCTGACATTATCTTTCTAATTTAAATATTAATAAAAGTCTTTATCTGTCCTTTTTTAATAAATATATTTTTTATGTATAACTCATAATTAAATGATTGCAATATAAATATATTTTTCTTGAAATTAAAAAGTATTAGTTTTAAAAAAATTATTATAATATTTTATTACGAAAATAATTCATTAAATTATTTTTGTGCTTATATATATTCATCTTTTTTTAAAAAAAAAGTTTATTGCTTTGTTATTAATATTTAAAAAAAAAAATAATATTAGCTATTTCATAAATTATATGAAATACGTTAAGAATAAAAATAAATTTTCGATATAATAATAATAAATAGATTATAAAATTGTTAATTTTAATAAAAAAAATAATAGTTTATTTGATAATTACAAATATGTAATATATTGTCATTATTATGACTTTTTTTTTTATAAATACTAAATATTTTCTTTTTTTATTTATTCCTCTATTTATTTTTTTCGCATTTCCTATTTATTATTTTAGATCTTCCCATTTAATTTATAATTTTTTCTTTTCTTCCTTGTAGCAGCTTTTAATATTCTATATTTTTTTAATTATAAATTTACTATTTATTAAACATTTTATATTCTTATAAAAGCATATTATATATAATTATTCTAATAATTCATGTTATTGCATAATATCTTTTTTATTATAGTAATTTTTACACGCGTATTATAAATTTAAATCTTTAATTTTTTATTAAAATTATAAAAACAATATATAATAAATAAATTAATATATTATGTTAATTTAATAAATGATTAATATTTTATATTCGAATATAGATTTTTAAAGTATTTTTTTTGTTTAAATAATAAATATTGTTTAAAAAACATTTTGTTTTGTTAATAAAAAGAAAAATAGTATAATATAATTAAATATAAAGTTTTTTTCATTTAATTATTTATTAAAAGATATAAAAGAAAAAATAAAAAATATTTAATAAATTTGTATATTTTGAATAATTTATATATTATTAAATTTATTTATTTTTACTTAATTTTTTCTTATATTATATATTTTTATACTTTATATTTTTTTTAAAAAAATATTAATTATATATATAATAAATTATTTATTGCGTATTTAATTTATATTCTATTACTATTTATAATATAAAAACATTTTATAAAAAAATATTAAACATAAATTAATATTTTATTTTTTTATAAGAAAAATATTTTCAATATTAGTTATATTATTAAGGATTAGGAAATTTTACTTATAAACTTCTTTTAAATAGATATTAAGCCTTTTTTTTTTTTTTTTTATTTGTTAATAAATAAATATATCTTTAAAAATAATAAATATATATATAAATATATATATAAATATATATATATATATATATATATATTTTATATTTAATATATATATATTTATATATATACCAAAGTATCAACTGGGTCTTATGGATGATCTTTACATAATTAAATTAATCCTTCAGTTAAGAATGGTACAACATTATCAGCTAAATACTATCTGTTTTTAAATAAAAAATAAATAAAAAACTATTTAAAAAAATAAAAAAAATTAAATATAACCTTAAATAGTAAGATTTTTCATTTAATTTATCTTTTTCAGTATTTTTAATTTTTTCCATCTTTATATTATATTCTTCTTCTTATAATTTCCTAGATTCTTCTTCTTTTTAATTTCTTATTCTTTCTTCTTCTTATTCCTTTTCTTTTTACAATTTTAATTATTCTTCTAATTCTTTTACCCTTTATTTTTCTTCATATGTTTAATGTATCATATAATTATTAAAAGCACCATTCTATATAAAAATATACAAAAAAATATAATATAAGTATTTTTTTTTAAAAAAAAATTACTCTTTCAATGTAACTTCTTAAATTATCAAAAATTTAATTGGTTTTATTAAAAACATTAACTTATTAAACATCAACATTATTTTCCTTAAAAAAATCAATAAGAATCGGATTCCCAGTATATTATAAATTATCTTTCCTAAACTAGCCTAATCTTCTATTCATACCCTCTTCATTATAATGAGTATTTTATAATTCCTCTTCAGGTAATTCTTTAATCCTCTATTTAAGAAAAATATCACTTCCATCAAAAAAAACTACGCTTTGTGGCATAATATTTTCATCTACAATTTTTTCAGCATTTTCATCATCTTAATTATCGTCTTCACCATTAGGCTTATTTTCTTAAAAATAAAATAAAAATTTTATATAATAAATATATATATTTACTTAAAAATATTGCTCTAGCCTGTACAAAAGTTTTAGGATATCCATCTAATACATATCCTCTATTTAAACAATCAGTTTAGGAAAGTCTCCATCTGTAAATTTTCTATAATTATTCATCAGTTAATCTAACAATAATATTAGAAGGATCAAAAACTAATTATTCAGGATCAACTTTTTTTCCTTTTTTTTTTTTTTTTTCAATTTCGAATTCGTATTAAGCTTTTTCTATTAAAGCTTCTTTTTATTCTTCGCAGTATTATTTTATTTCTTCAGACAATTCATTTTATGCATTTTTTATTTCCTCTATTACTTGTTGAATTTTTATATGTGGTATATTATAATATTAAGATAATCTAAAATAGTATATATGACATATATATATATTTAAATATATATATATATATATATATATGTATATATGTATATATGTTTATATATTTAAAAATATGTATTTACTGTTCTCCAAAATAACTCTTTCCACTAGCAGGAGGTCCACAAATTAAAATCTTATTAGGTTTTAAGAATCTATAGTCATTAAATTATTTATTTAATTTTTAAATATTTGCAGGCAATCCTTCTTTACAATGCCATTCGAATTTGAATTTTTCTTTCTTCTCAACCCCTTCTTCTTCTTCATTATTTTCCTCTTCTTCATCTTCTTAACTTAGGAACTAATCAAATGCTTTAGTTGGTCGTATTCTCACATCAACTGTAAAAACATCAAAATTCTCATATTAAAGAGCCTCTTCATATCCAATATTTTTAACTAGACCAGTACCTAAACCTTTACTTATGGCTTTTACTAAACTTAATTAGGTAGGTTTTTAATTATGATCTATGGCAAAAATATAGCTTTAATTAGGTTGTTTTTCGGTTAGTTTTTATGCAAAAGTTGCTAAATCTTTAACATGAATACTCGGAATTCTATTTTTTCCTTCTCCGAATATTAATAATTCTTTAGGATTTTAAAGCCAAGCTTACTTTTTATTTTATTTTAAAATTTTTTTATTTTATTAAAAAAAAAATACCTTAAAATAACGTTCATATAAAACATCTTCGCCATTACCATATTATATACCAGCACATAATACATATGTTTTCAAATTTGGTTTTGTATTTCCAGCTGATATACACAATGTTTCTAAAGATTTTAAAATTTCATATTTGGGTAATGGATTTCTTTAAGTATAATCTTTTTCAGTATATCTTATATAAGTTTTCTTTTTTTTTTTTTAAGTATATATATATATGTATTTAAATATATTTTAATTAATACTTTTTATATTTCTTCTTCTTCTTATTATGGAGGAGGTGCATTTTCATCTTCTTCACTTTAAGGCTCTTCTAAACCTTCTTCTTATTCTTCATTTGCATCATCTCCTTCTTTCTTATTTGTTATATTTATTTGTTTATTATATATACTTTTTTTAAAAAACATATACTTTTTCTTTTAAGGGAGTATTAGACCAAACCATTATACTAGAAATAAAAATTAAAATTTTCTCATCTTTATATTCTCCCATTTTAAATACTTTTTTAAAAAATAAATATAAATAAATAATAAATGTATTTGTATGAATATACTTTTTATTGCGAATTCTGCTTCTTCTAAATCACATGTATTTAAATCATATATAATAATATCAGAATCAAGTAAAACTTTAGATAAAAAATCTACTTTTTTAGTCTTTTTGTATAAATAAAAAAATAAAATATATAATTTGGCTTCATTTATATTACATCTATAACTCTAAATACTCCTTTTGGTACGGGATTATCAGTTTATGCTTTAGATAATGATCCTACTATAATATGTGGATTTTCATCATTTATATTATAATTTCTTAATTTTTCTACTAATTCTTGTCCTAAAGTTGTGTTTAATGAACCTATGTAAAATCTCTTTTGCTTTGGGGGTTCTTTTTTTATATCTTTTTTAATTTTTGGTAAATCGGACATTTCTTAATATTTTGTAATAAATAAATAAATAATTTATAATAATAAATTATTTTTTTAAATAAAAAAATAATTAAAAAAAATAAAGTTATTTTTTTTATAGTATAAGTTTTATAAAAAAAAAATCAAAAATAAAAAAAACAAAACAAACAACTAATTTTTTATTACATAATATAAAAAAAATAAGCCAGAAAAAAAAAAATATATAATTCTATAAAAAGAAATAAAAAAAATTTAAGGATATAAGGAAATTAAAATATATTATTAGAATGGCATAAAAAAAATATTAAAATTAGTATCAAAAATAAAATAATTTAAGAACAAAGTCAATATTTTACAAAATTAAATACATAATAAAATGAAAAAGATATATGAATAATAAATAGTTTATTAGATTAGTTAAACAATTTTATTAATGTAATATAATCTATAATAAATTAAATAAAAAAAATAAATAAAAAGAAAAAAATTGCTAAAAAAAAATAAAGATAATATAAAATTATATATAGAATATAATAATAAAATATTTTTTAAATATAAAAAGTGAATATTAAAATAAAAAAAAAAAGAAATATAAATAAATTAAAAATAAATTTATATTATAATATTTAAAATAAATAAATATCTATATAATTTAATATAATATAATATATATATATATAAATATATACATATATACATATATATATTTATAAATATTCATATATCCAATTTTATATACACATTTTTCATTTTATCTTATATCTATATTTATTTATAATCATATAAATATTTTTTTTATACATTCTAGATTTAAAATTTTTAATACTTTTTTTTTTTCAATATTTATAAAAATCATATGTTTTTTTTGTTTTACATTAAATTTTTTATTTATTTTAAATATATTTTTATTTAAAAATAAAATTTTATTTTTATTTATTATTTATTTTTATTAATAAATTTGTTTTTTTATTATAATTTTTATTTTATATATATTTTTTTTGATATTATTTTTTTATTTCATTAATGATCTTGCATTTAAATTTTTTACATTTTAAAAATATCTTATATTTGCTTTTATTAATCACATTTTAATTATACTTTATTAATATAATTTTTTAATAATTTTGTATATTCATAAATATAAATAATTCATTTATCTATTAGCGAAAGAATAGGTTCAACCAAAGAAAGTGTTTAAGAGTTTAACATAAATATAAATTATTTATATAAATAGAAATATATTTACTTTAAGATAATTATTAATTATATAATTTTGTTTACAGAAATTAAAAATTTAATTTTTGTTTTATTTAATTTTTTTCTCTTCAAATAGAAAAATCATAAATTAGAATTAGTATCATTTATAAAATATTCAAATAAAAATATATAATATTTATATTTTTAATTTTATATTTATAAAAAATTAGTTATTAATAAAAAAATGAATATTATAAATAATTAAATGAATTTAAAAAAAAGTTTAATAAATGTTATTAATTATTAAATTAAATTAATATTTAATATAATTTATAAAAAAATGATATTTATAATTAATTTTTATATTAAAAATTAGATTAATCATAAAATATTGATATAATCATGCTATATTAATAATTTCAGTGAATTATATTTGAAATTATTTTGATATTAAAAAATTTATTGGAAAATAATAAAAGAATTAAAACAAAGTAAAATTTTATGTTTTTAAAAAAAGTAAGTATATGAAAAAGATTTTTTTTTATTTATAACAAAAAATAATCATTAAGTGATATATTTTAAAAATACTTTTCTTTGAAATAATAATAATTATGAAAAATATATTAAGGATATAAATTATTTATAGGAAATAAAAATATAAATATTAATTATAAAAAAATCTTTAATAATAAATAATATCAAAAATATTAAATTTTAGAAGTGATAAAATTAGAAAGACAAATTAAAGATAATTAATTTAGAAAAAAAATAATATAAAAATATTAAGAAAACAAATAATTATAGAAATAATAATAAATTTAATTATAAAATAAATAATAAATAAAAACATAATAGAATGCGAAATTAATTACATATTATTTTATAATATATGAATAAAATAAGAACAAAAAAATAAATAGATAAATAAATAAAAAATTGAAATTTTAACTAATTTTTAAAATATAATTTTTATTTTAATATATCTAATTATTCTTAATTATAAATAATAATATATATATTTTTAAAATTATTTAAAAAAAAATATAAAATTAAAAAATATATATATAAAATATAATAAGTTTTAAAAATAAATTATATATTTTTTCTTATATTAAATAAATAAATAAATAATTATTTTTTATATATTAATTAAAATTTATATATATATATATATATATATTAAAAAAAAAATCATTAATTCATATAAAACTACAAATTTTTTTACAATTTTTAATTAAGATTTTAAAGTATAGCTTTTCTTTAATCTGCGTTTGTTTCAATTTAACAACTAGATATAATTTGATTTCTTCTAATTTATATTTTAGGTAATTTATCATTATCATTATTAATATTATGACTAATATTATTACTAAACATATCCTAAGTTTAATAATTTGAATTTTATTAAGATTAGTCTGAACTATTATCGAAATTAGTTAAGCTTTTATGATTTTAATTGTTTTTATTTTTTACAAATTAAACTAATCTACTTTCAAAAGTCTCCAAATTTTGAAAAGATTAAAGTATAACTTTAGCATCTTTAAAATATTTTTATTTTTATACAATACTACTATCAATTCTCCCTTCTTTTTATAAAAGTTTATCTGCAAGAAGATATATTTATCTATCTTATTATTAATTTATTTTTTCGAGATTTTTACACAATATTTTTTTTTCTAAATTAATAGAATTTATTTCATTAAAATTTAATAAATTATTCAAACTGAGCATATTTTTTTAATTTAAATTACTGTTTTTAATCTTTTAGACTATACTTTTTCTAAAATCGGCTAATGCATAATACCTGGCTTTTAAGTCATCCAAAATTTCTTCATTATCTGAATTATTTTCCATTTATTTTAAACATTTTTGTTCATCTTAAAAATGAGTTTTTATCAAATTTTCTAATTCTATATATTATTCTGGAATTGAAGTTACTCTTTTTATTTATAAAAAAAATCATATAATAATTAAAATATAAAAGTTCAAACTTCTTTTCATTTAGAACTTATTTTAAATTTTCATTTTCTTTATTTAGTTTTTCAATAATAAATGCATAATTAGATACATGATTATTTTTTTCAATAATATTTTTCTATACACAAACTTTTACATTTTTTGCTCTATTAGCAAATAAAAGAGTATTATAAGTATCTTCATAACACAATATGCTTCCACTAATATTTGCTATCATAAAAGTTCTACAATTTCCACCTAAAGAGTCCTTTTATTATATTTTTTTTTTAAAAAAAAAAAAAAAAATTAAAAAATATATATTTATATAAAAAATGCTTTTAAAAGTCTAGTCAATTTAGAACCTCTATAAGGAATAAAACCCCCTTTAGAATTTTCACTTAAAGCCTATATACAATTTCCCAAAGTTAAAAGACTTTGGTTAATTTTAACTCCTTCAATTTTTGTATTTTTACTTTTATTAGCCCAAGCTTTTTCAGATCCAGCTAAGTCTACTAAGCTTAATTTTGAACAAATTATTTCTGTTTTGATTCCTTCAGCTTTATCTTGGCATTCTATATATACTTATATTATTCCATGGGATCTACTCGAAAATTCATTTTAAAAACTTTAATCTTTTGTCCTATTTTTGGCACCTATTTTCAAATATTCATTTAAATCATTAATACTATTTATATTTATTTCTGTTAATCCCTATTTTATTTTCATAAAAAACACATATATTTTTTTTTGATATATATACATGTATTTATATTTAATCGATTTTAGGGTCTTCTCTTAAGTCTAAATTTTTTCCTTCTGTAGATAATAAATCTCTTAAATTTTCATTATAGATTTCCATATAAGCTAATTTTATTTCTACATTATGTGTTAGTTATTTATTTTATATCTATTAAAACAGATCATTTAATAGTAAATTAATTATTCCTTATTCATCTTTTTATCCAATCATTCTAATTTTTTTAATATAAATATATATATATATAAATATATATACTTACGTATATGTTTTGCCTGCTCCAGTTGCGCCATATGCAAAAATAGTAGTATTTATGCCGTCTAAAATATCATTTATTTATTAAAAAATGGTTTGTTTGTAAACTTCTTTAGTAGATATATTTTCATCAAATACAATATCAAATGTAAAATGATTTTCTTTAAATTTATTCTTACTTATATTATTAGCATTTAAATTGTATTTTTGACTTATTTATTCTGGGTCAAGTAAATTTATTTATGTATTATTTTATATTTCTACTATTTATGCAAATTAAGCTTATTCTTCTTCTTTTTAATTTAATGGTCTTTTTCTTACTGCAACAAAAATATTATTTTGATTCATTTTTTTAATTATTATTATTAATAATTTATTTATTTTATTATTGTTATTAATAAGTATTAAATTTACTTTTTATTTTTAATATTTTACTTAGATATGTATGGTTAATTTTTATAAAAACTTATTTGTTGTTTTATTTTGATAAATAATACAAAATATATTACTTTTGAAATATAAAATAAATAATATATATAGAAAAAAACATTTTTTTTTCATTAAATTTCAATTTAAATTTATTCGTTTATAACATTTAATATAATAAAATCACCATTTTTTACTTAATTTTATCCCTGAATCCAACTTTTAATTAACTCTGAAATTTGGTCTATTTTTGCCCATTCTTTAAAATTAGAATTAGGCATGGCTTATCTGTTTCTGGTGTGTCAATAATTTTACTTTATTTTTTATATTTTATTATATAAAAAAATAAATAATAATATATATTATACGGAAGCAAAGTAATAACTTTACTATTTTCAGGTAATTCTTTACAATTAGCCTTTTTTTAAAAATAATAATAATAGTTGTTTCTTTTAAAAATAATTGTAAATACTAAACTTTTAGCTATTAAATTAACACTATTTTTACAAAGTAAATAAGCAATATTATTAATATCATAGTTATTTTAAATTGAAGAAAAAGCACTAGTAAATAAAATTATACCATTTGTATCAATAAAATAAGTTGATAAATAAGCAGCTTTTTTTTTTTTTTTTTCGAAAATACATTAAAGAAATAAATACCAAGTATTGACGGTAAAGTACTTGCGAAATTCATTTTTTCATAAATTTATAATATATTCTCATTTTTAATTGAGGTTCCATCCCAAGCACCTGCTACACATATAATAGATTAAACTTTATTATCTCCAATTATTTAATTAATTTATTATTTTAATTTTAATAAATGTTCATTATTATTATATTGCTAATGGTCTAAAATTATATTTTATTATGCTTATGCATTTTCTGTAAACGAAATATTTATTGTTTGATAATTTTCATTTAAGACATTTATTAGTCCCCTTCCTTTGTAATTTTATAAGTTTTATTTTTTTTATTTAAAAAAAGCAAAAAATTAAATACCTAAATTTCCACTTCCTCCTATTATAATAATAGATTTTTTAGAATTCATATTTATTTTAGTTTTAATAAAAAAATAATTTTAATTGAAGCTCTAAATTAAAAATATTTATTATTTAATATTTTTTCTATAAAAAAAATTAATTGCTTTTTTTATTCTTATGTTTATATTATTTAATTTTTTTATAAATAATAATATATATATATATAAAATAATTATCTTTAAAATTATATATTATAATAAATATTATAAATTCTTTTTTATTTTTAATAATAGAAAAAATTTAATAATTTTCATTTAATTATTTATAATAAAATAAATATATATTTATATCTTATTGTTAGTTTTTTTTATATTCTTATAATTTTTCATTAACAATCATTACTTTCATTTTATTCTTCTTGATTTTTTTGAAAAGTATTTGATTTTTTATCTATTGTATTTTTATTATTAAATCCTACTAAATTAATTTTATTTTATTTAATTTTAACATAAGATTCAACCATTTATTTTTATTCCTTTAATTTTTATAAATTATAATAGTCAAATTTAATTTTTTATTTGGAAAAAAAAAAAAATTACTTTTAAAGTTTTATTTAAAATATTTTCTCTTAAATATATAAAAATTTAATTTAATAATCCAAGTATATTATTTTCTTAATAAATTTTTTTATATTCTTAAATGTTACCTTTATTAATTCCTAAAACCTTTATTTATATTTATTTTAATTAAAGTAAAACAAAAAACAACCAATTCTATTTTTGATAAAATATTAATTCCCCAAATATAAGATTGTTTTTATTTAAGAATTGCTTAATCAGCTTTTTATTTAATTAATTAATATTTATTAGAAAAACAGGTATCTATTGTGTTTTGCTTTTTATGATTATGCAATTCATTTTCAATATTTTTTAGTTATTAAAATTAAATTTATAATTTATTGTTTTCTTCTTTTAATTATTGTATTTTTTATTCATTATTTTATATTAAATAAATTATAGATTAATAATTATTTTCTTTATTTAAATATTTATTTGAAATATCATCAATATCATTAATTCCCTTTATAAAAATAAAATAAAATGGATAATTTAATTATAATTGAATTATTATACTGTAGAAGACTTAATTTATTGATAAGAATACTAATATTTTTGATACTAAATCATCAGTTATTTTATTTTTTATTTTAGACATGCTTTAAGAAACTTATTTACAAAATATATTTATCTAATTTTATTCTTAAAAAAGAAATATTGTATAATATATAAAAATTAAAAATACAATAGTCATTTTATTTATTTCGTCTTATGTTTGTTCTGCAAGTTAAATTTATCTAATTTATCTTTATTCACTATTTATTTTATAATAAATTAATAAATAAATAACAAAAATTATTTACTGATTTTTTTATTAATTAATAAATTTAACTTGTTCTTTTTCAAGTATATCTTAATCATTTTTTCTTTATTATTATTGATTTTTAACAGACTTTTATTTAAAAAGAAATAAAGAATATATCATTTTATATTATTTTTTTTACTTTTTATATATTTTTTATCGCTAACTTAGACTATTCTTATTCTTGTTTATTTTTAAAATCGTTTTATTAAAGGAATTATAATAATTATTAATTTTATACTAATTTTTTTTATTATTTATTTTAACTCTTATGTAAATATATTTATATATCGCCCTTTTTTTTATTAAAAAAAATTGAAGATTAAAATAACATATATGGATACTTTCATTCTTTATATTATATGTAAATATGACTTTTTAAGTTATTCGCTTTCATTTTATTTTTATTATACTTATTCTAATTAAATATTTAAATTTTGCTAAACCTATATTTAAAAAATATATTAATATTTTTATAATAATCCAATAATCAAAAGTAAAAAAAACTTAATATAAATTTGATAATTGATTATGCATTAAGTTTTCTTTAATACTCAATTACTAATTTTATTTCTTTTTAAAAAAATAAACAAATAAATTAATGAATATATTATGAGATAATAAACTTATATAAATTCGATATTTTATTATTATTCTTAACATTTTATTTTTAAATAATCTATTTATTTTCTTAATTATTTTAAACATTTAGTGATTCTGTTTAAATCCAATTACTAAAATTATTTTTATTTATTTTTTATTTATTTTTTTAAAAAAAGACGTCTGTATCTATTTTTTGTAATTCAAGTAAATTTGTATTTTTTCCAAGAAAATCTTATACATTTCTAGATCTTTTTTTTTTGTTTTTTTAATTTATTTTAACTAATTATTAATTATATAACTTATAATATTTTTTAAGTTTTTTTTCTTCTTATTTTTATATTGATGGTAATGAAACCTTTGATAAAATACGTGAAGTTTTTAATTATGAAATTTCTTTAAATTTATTATTATTTAAAGATTAGTTTTAATCAAATCCAATAATATTTTATTCACTATTATTATCATTATTATGTAAAGATCTAACTTTTCTCATTATTGTAATTTAATAAAATTTATTATATTTTATATATATAAGTATACAAAAAAAAAATTAAATATTTTTAAACAATACAAAAATTAAGTAAAATTAAATTTAAACAAAATAGTTTTTATAATATATAAACAAATCAAATAAAAATCTTCATTTTTAAATTAACTTTTTTAAGATAATCTCATGAATATATTTCTCATATTTTTTATTCTTATTGTCATCTAAATACTTAATAATATTTTTAATATTTTATAAAATTTCTATTATTTAATATGACATTTCTATATAAAATTCCAAAATTAACTTTTCTTCAAATCGAAAATAAATACAATTTCTTTCATTATAATCTAGCTAATCACTATCTAATAATTATTTATCTTTTAAAGAAGAACAATTATACTAAAAAATAGTATTGACGCATATTTAGCTAATTTTTTCCCACATTAAAATTTCATTCTAAATATTCAAAGGAGGAGTTTTTTTAGGCAAATAAAATTCCTATTAAGGTTAGATTTTTTAATGAATATTCCATAATAAATCTAATAATTTGGAGTCTTCTAAAATTAAAAATCTAATCAAACCCATAAATTCTAAATTTATATCACTATCTTAATTAATAGTAATTCTTTGTATTATTTAAGACGGGAAATTTTAGCCTAGCATTTTTTTTTCTCTCGTTTTCATTAATATTATATTAAATACATATAGGTATTTTATTATATAATGCATTATCTAAATTTAGAAACCCATAATTCAAAAAGAACCTAGAATTGCATTTATTACCATATGAAAAATATATTTATTCGTTTTCTTGTATATCCATTAGTGCCTTTATGGTAAAAAATTCGTTTTTTTAATCATATTCCCATTCAGTTTGTTGTTAATTATTTTTATGGTTCATCATATCAGCTAATGGAATCAAAGATATGTTTTTTTAAAAATCTATTTTTATATCAAATACTCTAGATGATACAATAACTCTGGCTTTAGTAAAATCCTCTAAAGTAAATTATGGTATTAAATCTTTTATTTTTTCATAGTCGTGTTATATATCTTATATTCTTTCGTTTATTTAGTTTAATAAAGGAGATCCTTTTAATAATTCTAATTCTTTTTCTTTAAAAAATATTGGAAAGTTTTCCAAATTTTCAGGCAATAGGTCTATATATGGAAACCAAAAAGAATCATTTTTCAATTGTTTTTCTTTTAACAAAAATATTGATAAGTAAGTATGTTATGGAGATAATAAATTAGTTTCTTAAGTTATTTAAAATTTTTCTTTTGCTAAATCAGATGTTATAATTGTTTTTAAAGGAACTTATATTATTATTGAATCTTTTTTAAATTATTATATTGAAATTATGCCTTTATTATTTTTTTCAAACTGAATTATTTTTAGACCATTAAATTAACCTCCATTATTTAAAATCCAATTAACTAAATTATCTTATTCTTTAATTTAAAAATAAAATAAATAATAAAAACTTTATCATATATAATAATTTTAAATAAATATAATTAATTATAAAAAGTACTATTTAATTACTTTTTAATTATTATTATTATTCATATTTATTCAATTTTTTTTATTAAATATATGTTAAATGTATAAAATTATTTATGAATTAAAAAAATAATTAAATAATTTTTTATTAAATATAAAATTATAGTTTATATTTTATATGTCTACATTTCTTAAATCTGTTTATTAAATTAATTTAAGATTAAAAAAATAAAGTAGGATTAAAATTTAATAAATTAAATAAATAGATGTTTGATATGTTTATTTATAGCTTTCTTAATTATTCATGTTAGAAATATTATTTTTTTCTTAAATATTTGAACTTAGTTAATATTATATTTTTTTAAATATAAATAATTTAAAAATTTTAATATTTATTAAATTATATAATATAAAAGAAAATAAAATTATATAAATAATAATTGATATTTAGAATTATTTTTTAAAGATAAATAATTATTATTAAAATTATATTATTTATATTTATTAATTATATGATTGTTACAAATGCTATATTTTAAGGTTATAAATAATTTTTTTTTTTTCATATTATATATAAAATTAAACATTAAATTAGAAATATATAATTATATAATTAACATTTTATTTAATTAAATTTTTGTTTAATTAAATTTTCATTTAATAATATTTTTATTTGGATAATTTATAAAATATTTGAAAGTATATATTTTTATTTTTTTTAAATAATTTAGATAATAATACAAATAATTCTAAAAACAAACACAAATAAATAATTTTTACAATAAATATAAAGTTAAATAGAAATTATTTTATTATTTATTTAATTTTATAATACATATTAATATTTTATATAATTTTATATTATTAAAAAAATCTATATTCACATTTAATGAAATAATATTATTTATAATTTATTTTTTATTAAATCTTATCGTATATATCTTTTTTTTATATAAGATATAATTAAATATCATAAATTAAAAATAAAAATCTAATATACAAACAAATATAATAATTTTTATATTTATAATAAATAAACTAAAATAAAATTATAATAGACTCATATTATATAAATATCAATTAATAATATCCAAATAAAAATTATAATAATAATAAAAAACAAAATACTTAAAAAAATAAAATAAAATGTCTTTATAAACTCAATAATTTGAATAATATTTACTTTCTGAAAACAAACAAGAATTTCTCAAATCCTTAATCCCTGATACCTACGAAGATTTATACTTCCGAATAATGCATTCTTTAAATACTAAATAACTACTCGATAGCAATGACTAATAATTGATTGAAAAGATTAAATAGAAATACTAAGAAGGAGTAAAAGAAAGCACTAAACTTCACAAGTTAGAATTTATAAATTAATTAAGAATATTAGACTCACCTTAAACTACCTAAGACCAAAAAATATAGGCTTTAAAACAACTTTAACTATATTTAGAAATCGAGGAAGATTAGAATTATGAATTAAATCCTAATTAAGTAAATAAAATGAACGAAAACGATTCTTTAAGCAAACAATAGTATGAAAGTGTTTTTGATAACAGAATAATTAACTTTAATAATTTTCTAGAAACTTGTTACGGAAATCTTAATAATTTATAAAAAATAAAGCCTAATTTCCTATTACGGTTAGATGTATAAAAGCTACTTAATAATTCCTAAAAAAATGAAGAATATGTATAAATACTTAAATATTATTTAGAAAATATTCCCTGTCTTCACCAAATTAATAACATAGTCCAAATTTACAAAGCAATTATCGAAAATCAAAATAAAAAGGATACTCCTTATATACTTAATTATGATAAATTAAGTTTATAATAATTAGAAGAAATAGGTAAATAAATGAAAGATGTAGTTCTTAATTAAACTGAGTTTTACTCTTCTTAATATAAGAAATTATTCTCAATACATACATAGAAGCTTGATAATTTTTAAGATTTAGACTTGAAATAAAAAAAGAAAAAAAAGATGTACTTTCTAAAGCTTATGATTGGTGTAAAAAAAACCTTCCTTTATATATGAGTTCATTTAAAGATTAAATTTTATATGAAATTCTTGTTTTAAGTTGTGATTTATAAGATTATAATTAATAACTTTTTATTGAATTCTTATAAAATCCTCCATAAATTAAATAGTAAAATAATTTTATATAAATATATATATTTTTTTTTATTTAAATAATTTAAATAGTCCTTGCACAAATCAATAATAGAAATTATATGATAATAGAAAATATGATTATCGTTCTTTTTAAGATATACATTGCTTAAATATAAGTAAATGGCCTTCTTAAATAAAATTAATAACCGAATATTTAAGATTTTACTTTAAAAATGCTAAAAATGCCAAAGACTATGAAAAATATATAGCTGAATCTACCCTAAACGAAATTTTCTACACTGTGAAAATATAAAATGGAGAAACAGATTATATTTAAAAAGCTAAAGATCTATTAGGCGAAGATCGCATTTAAAATCTAATTAACGAACGCTCAATTTTTATAAGAAATAAAAATTATTATTTTTCTTAAAATGAGAAGGTTGAGTTATTTGTAGAAACGAAAAACATTTAAAATTTAAATGTTAAATTATTTGAAATACGAACAGAAAATTACTATATTAAAAAAAAAGCTGCTTTTGATAATTTAATATCTTTAGATGGATTAATTCCTTTAGATTAATAATAATATAATTATAAAGATTAACCTCATTTAAAAATTTTAAGAACTTTTAACTTCGAGAAATTATAATAGGCTAAAAGAGGTATTTTTATAGTTGAATTTATTGGAAATTCTATTTCTTCACGTGCTGTTATTAATAAAGGTATATATTTTTTAAAAAAATATTTTTAAAAAATATTTTTTTAAAATTAGGATTTTTAAGTTATCTTGAAAATAATACAATTGCTGGAAAAAAATTAACTTTAATTGATGAAAATTAAAATATATGTAAACCTTAATAAAACAAAAGAACAGGATTATGGTATGGAGATAGATTCCATGAAGCAAACGAAAATGGATAAGTAATGATTCCTTATAAATCATAAGCTTAATCATGTCAATTAATTCTAGTTCATGAAGATTATGCTGAATTAATTTAAAATTTCTATATTTAAAGTGAGGAATATGCATTTAAATGTACCTATATGTATAACCAAGAATAGTTTTTACAAGGAAATAAAGCTATAATATCAATTTAACCAGTCTTAGAAATAAATAACGTGGTATGCAATCCTGAAATAATCGAAGAATAAATCGTAAAAGTACATGTTTTAAATTATTAAAATATCCCAAATACATTCGAATTCAAAGACATAAAATTTGACCATAAGAAATAATTAGAAATAAGTTTCCCTGTATAATCAATATTGAAAAGTGTAAAAATCGAATGTGAGGGAATCATTACAAAAATGGATTAAAAAAAATAAAAAGTTTAAAATTCTAAAGAAATCACTTTCGAATTACACTAAGATCCTGAAAATTAACTATTTAATTCATATTTAAAAAATACAGAAAAACAAGGCTATATAGTTTAAATTTTGGGTAAATCTGGATAAGGAATTCCTTAATTACCTATCGAAGTTTCACTTTAACATCAAAGAATTAATAATTAAGATTTTAAATAAATCTTATAAACAGATGATAATGGAAACATTGTTTTAGGGCTTTTGGATAATATATAATCTTTGTAAATTAAAAGCTTATGTTTTTCGGATCAAGATAATATTTAATTAGAAATGAAATGGAATTTATGCACTAATGGTATTAGATTAGAGTTCCCATAAACTATTATTGTTATTGAAGGTGAAACTATTTAATTACCTGTTTCTAATATTTAATTGAATAAGTAGAATTTCTGTTTTTATTCTGGAGAATTAAATACTTATCCGGAAATCGTATATTAAGATATGTATGATTGCTTAAATGTTAAAAATAATTTCCTAGAAATTAATTAACTTAAGGAAGGTAATTATATCTTGAAGATTCTCGAATATTCATAAACTATTCTCATTTAAGTTATTAAAGGAAAATATTGGGATAAAAATTCTAATTTTATTATTTCAGAAGGATCATTTTAATAAGTATTTATACATATATTTGTATTTATTTATTAATATATTTTTTATACAGATTTAAAAATATTCAGATTATTGTGTAAGTATAAATGAAGTACTCTTAGTTCCTAAAACTGAATAATTGTCAGATATTATGATTAGTTTAAATATTCCTAAATAATTGAAATAGTATTAAAAAGAACAATTGAAAGTATAAGTTTTAGCTTATAATTTTATGCCTCATAAACCTTAAGATTATGTCAATAATTTAAGATAGAGATCTTTTAAAAACTTAAATCATACATATTTAAAATAATAAAAATCTGTTTTTTTCAATAATAAATAAATCGGAGATGAAATCTGTTATGTTATTAATCGTTAAAATGAGAAAAAATTAATTGGAAATACATTAGAAAAACCTTGTATTTTATTAAAAAAAACATTTAATTAAGAAACTGTTTTCGAAAAAGAAGAACTTAATTAAGGTGAAGATTATCAGTGTAATCCACCACTATTTTCAGCTTAAAGTGGTGGTATGTAATGTATGAGGTAATAATGTTGTTAAAAAAATTTTAATGGTATGAATCAATATCAAATTGAAAATTGTTGTGCAATAAAAAAATAAATCTAATATGGTGAAATCGATAACTTTTTTAATTTCCTTTCTGTCCCTTCTTTCTTTGCTACAAATTTAGAAGTATTTATTATTTTTAAAATTAAATTTATTTTTTTATAAAACAAAAAAGATTAATGAAGATGGTAGTGTTATTTTAAGCGATTTCTAATGGAAAAATTATTCAACTATACAGGTTATTGTTTCTAATTTAAACGTTGCTATAAGTGATATTTTCCCTATACAGCAAGAACTTACTCCCTTCTAAGATTTAAAACACTAATAATAATCAAAAAAAGATAAAGTATAACAAAAAAAAACAATAAATATATATATATATATATATATATATATATATAAACAGTTCTATGTAGAAACCTTTAATGCTAAAAATCTAAATAAAGGAGAATAATTGATAATATCAGCTGATAGTTAGAGTGTAATAGTAAGTACATTAGGCGAATTATTCGAATTGTAGAAATAATTATCAAAAGCAACACGAAACACTGATTCTTATAATGGAAGAGAATATGGCTTTTGGTCTTTCGTAAAAGATTGGCATTAATTAAACTCAAATCAAAAATTGTAAAAATACAATGAATTTTCATGTCATGAGTTAAATTTATTCCTTTATTTTAAGGACAATGAATTTTTCTAAAAAGTAGTTTAACCATTTTTAATTAATAAAATGTAAAAAACATTCCTTGACTACTTTTTATTAAATGACCTTAATGAAATTTTCAAATACTCTTCTCCAGAAAAAACATAGGAATTAAATATTCTTGAATAGTGTTTATTATTATTATCTTTAGTGTAAAATAATCATATTTAAAGTGCATAAATACTCTTAATTTCTCTCAAAAACAAATTCTAATCAAAATCTTTAACATAAAAAAACACTGAATTATAAAAAAAACTTTATTTAACAATTATCTAATGCCAATAATAAAATTAAAACCTCGAATAAGATTATTAAAAAGTATAATTATTTTCCAGTTAATAAAATTGCTTTGCTATAGCTAATGAAAAAATGATTAATTATTCGTAAAAAACTTAAAATAAATAAATGGAACCATTAAAAGCGAGTGATATGATGAGTATGAATATGGGTATTTAATAAAAAATGTAAATGAAATCGGATATGCATATGGAATAGGAAGAATAAGAAGGATAATGTCTTTCTGATTCCAATGATTATGAGGATTATGATGATTATGATGATGGTGATGGTGATGGTGATGAATATTATTAATCAAAATTAATATAATAACGAAAATAATACAAAGTAGGGTATTAGAAACTCGAGAAGACAATTGAATATATCGAAAGACATTATTATGATGACAAAAATATTGACTAATATAAAAATTTAGTTCAAATAAATTAATTTTGGGTCGATTTTGCTTCCTATATTTTCTAAAAAAAGAGTGTTTAAAATTTCGTTTCTGAATCTTTTATTTATGCAGTTTAGAATCATGTTGAATTATTAGCAGTAGTCTCTTTAGTTGATTTTTCGCATAAAGATTCCAATATATATAACTTGAATATTTAACCAGGAAGGAAAATCCAAATTTAGGCAAATAATAATATTGTCGTTTTCTAAAAATAAATTACTGAAAGCGCCGAAATAAATAAAGGATCAGTCAACATTATTTAAAGATTCTTTGATCCTTAAGATAGATTTGGAATAATGAAAGAAGATCCATCAGTTAAAGTAGAAAAAGACGTCGATGAGTATATTATCAATAAAGTTTATGGATGTTAGCTTATTATTAGTAATATTTCTATTACAGCATTAAATTTATCTGTTTTGTATGAAATTCCGGAAGGAGCTTTACCAATAAATGCTTTTGAATATATAAAAACTTAAGATGTTTAATTAGAATCTTATTAAACTAAAAAACTTGAGTTTTTCTTCTATTTCCCTGAGGTGGGTGTTTTTGGTATTTATCCAAGTAATGCTTCTAGAAATGGAGTTATTTTAGCCTAAGCTAATGTTATTAATAATTTTGATGTGAAGAAAAAAAGAAGTGTTTAAAAAATGGAAAATCTTTCAGATATTTTAAATAATGGATCAAAAAAAGATATTCTATCATTTGCTTAAAAATCTAATTTATATAATAAAGAAGAATTTAATATTTCTAAAATTATGCATATAATCAAATAAGACAAAGTAAAAATAAATCTATTTATAATAATATAATAATATATTTTTTTAATAGAATTTCTTTTTGGAAATAATAAATATTTTGAAAAGCTAATAGCTATTTATTGAATAAGTTTGGAATTTAAGTTTCCATCATTAATATTTGGAAGGTGTCATAGAACTTTTTAAAAACCAGTAATTTATAAAATCCTTAAAATAACCCTTTAATACAATCTATTATTTAAATTCAACTTAAATAAAAATTGACTAATTTAATTAATTTGAATATCATCCTCTATTAAATTCGAGAGTACATAATTTCATGAACTAATCCAAGAGTAAAATCCAAAATAAGCAATTTAAAAGTACTTATGACAATTTTTTAAAATATTTGGCTCATATTCCTGTTTTAAATGAAGTTCATTATTTGACTTTATGCTATTATTTGATTCTTTAAGAAAGAGTGGAGGAAGCTATAAGTGTTTTCAATAGAATAGACTTTAATAAAATTTAAACTAATTAAACAGCCAGGATTTAATATGATTACTTTAATGCTTATTTAGATATCTATACAGGATTCCCCGACTTTAAAAAAGCAAGAGAAATTAGTTAATAATATGTTAATTATCCAATCATTTCTTGGAAAAATCTATTTTAGGAAATTAACAAATAACTTATAGAATATGATGGAGGTTAAATGGAAATCGAACAAGAAGAAGCTGAATAAGGATAATTAGGAAGAGTAACATATATTTATTAAATATAATATTTAAAAAAAAAAAAAATAGAATTTAAATAATAGTGATAAAGATTAAGATATTAATATTTAAATATAAAATAAATAAATTTTAATTGAATATTAAAATGCTGAATAAGCTGAATTAAATTTCTATGAAATTGATCTTGAAATATTATTTTCTACTTAACCCTTTATTTAAGAAAATCGTAGTAGGGAAGAATTTACATTCATAAAACCCACATTTTCATAAAGGGTATAATTTGAAAAGACAAATAATAGGGAAGCATTGACTATTCCAATACCTGATCATTTAGTTAAGAAACATCTTCATGTTTAATTAATTACATCTAATAAAGTCATAGATACTAGTTATTTCTCATCTTCTTTAAAAGTAAATCTTATTGAAAAATATGGATAAGTAAAAGTCCTTGATGAAAATAATAAACCCCTTTCTAAAGTATATGTAAAATGTTTTGCTAAGTAAAAAAATGGCGAAGAAATTTTCTATAGAGATGGGTATACTGATTTGAGAGGAAGATTTGATTATGCTTTAAGTAGTGCTAATGAAATTGAATAAGTTAATTTGTTTGCTGTTCTTATTTGTAGTGAAGAACATGGGGCTATTATTAAAACTGCTAAACCTCCTGTTACAGGTGGTAGAATGGAAAAAACATTATGAGGATATTTATTATCAAGTTTATATTTAAAATATATATAATTTTAGGTTTTATATATTTTATTTTTACCGTAAAAATTCTATAATTTTAATTTTAACTATTTTGATTTTATTTTTATTTATTTAAGATTTTAAATATATTTTTATTTTTTAATAAAATATATTTAATTTGATTTTTAATATTTGTTTTGATCTTTTTCTATTATATAAAATCCATTTTTAATTAAATTTAATTTTTAATAATATTTTTAGACATATGTGAATATATAAAAAAATTAAAATATATTATTTTTTACTTAAAAGAATTTATATTATATGTTAAGAACTTATTCTATACTTAAATATAAATTATTATTAAGAAAAGCAAATTTCAATATTATATATTTTAATATACTCTATTATTTTTATAATTTTTACTCAATATAAATACATTATATATATATAAAAAAATACTTTTTTTTTAATAATAAGTTTAACCAAATAATATTTATAAAACTTATATATTGTAATAGAAATATTTTATGAAATATATGAATATACTAAAATAAAAAATATATCTATAGAAGAAAATTAAGTATATTAATTATAATAAATAGTTAATCATAGTTGAAAATTCTTAGTTATAATAAATTTTAAATAATAGTTTAAAAAGAGTACATTTTTTTAAGTTAAACTATATTACTATTTTTTTGTGAGAATAAATATTTATTTTTATAATAATTTTTCCGTTACTTTTAAAATTAAACTTAAATAGATATTTTAAAGGCTTTTTTATTGTTTATTTGCAATCCTAAAAATTAGGAAAAAAAATAAGCTTTCAATATTTTTTATAGAATAAAACATGATCTTATATTTGAAAAAAAATAATTAAAGAATTTATTTAATATTTATGAAATATATTTTAATGAATAAAGATTATAATTATAATGAAAAAAAATATATAAATTTAAAAGGAAATAATATAGAAATACAAAATATATAAGGCTTTTAAATACTTAAGAAATTTATACTAATATTTATAATAAAATGATAAATGGATATATTAATAACCTAAATAAAATGAATATTATGTTTTTAAACAGATTATCAGATTATTAAGGATACATTTTTTAACAATTTTTTTAAAAATTATAAGTAAATAAGGTGCAAGATAGATGCATATATATATATACATATAATTATTAAAAAATAATTAAACAATGTCATATTTTTATAATTGAAATTTAAAAAATAATTAATATTTCTCATATATAGGATATTGTTTAAGGATTTTTTTTAAATAAATAAGATTTTTATAGATTATTCCAAGACTTATATATAAAAAAATTTAGCTAGATAGTCAAAAATTATTTGGAATCTCATCTTAAAAATAAGAAAGATAAAAATATATTTTTAAATAATGATGCTTTAGTTGAATTTTTCACAATAAAAATATATTAGAAATTTTTTTATAAAGAAGAATATATTTATAATTTTATATTAAGGGTTTTTGGAGAAAAAGTAGAGTTAAATTAAAACATACAAATATATAAGAAATTTTTATATACTGGTTTACATGAATATTTACATACTTTTGATTTAATTATTTGTAATTTTTAATGAATAATTCTATTTTTTGCAATCTAATTTAGTATTAACTTTTCCATGTTAATTTAATAAATATAAAACGAAGCAAAATTTGATATATATAAAATGTATATTGATTTAATTTAGATAAATGTATTTTTGGAAAATAAGATTATTCCATTAAAATTTTCTTTTTAATTTGCCAAAGAGTTAAGCTTCGTAATATTAAATGAGATATAATATATTAATCTTTAAAAATTAAACTTATTTTTATTTATATTATTAAATTTTGATTTATATTATTTTTAATTAATTTATTTTATATATATATTAGATATATTATTTTTAAACAAACATATATATTTTTAAATGGAATTAATTTAAAAAAAATATATTATATTTTATTATTAATTCTCAAAAATTTAATTTAAAAAAAAAAAAAATTATTAAAAATTATAATATACAACTATTTAATATATGAATATAATAGAAAATAAAATATATCAGAGAATTAACTTTAAAAAAATAAAATATTTATTGTATAATATCAATCAAATTATTTTTTTTATTTTATTCATTAAGATAAGCTTTTCGCTTTATTTTATTATAAAACTTAACTTTATTAAAATTCACAAATATTCAAATTATTTAAATTAATTTAAAGTTATTTTTTTATTTATAAATCAAAATGTTACACAGCATATTATTTGTCATAATTTTTTGCATAGCAAGCTCTTATAATAGAACTATTTAAATTTTAATCTTTACCGTAATAATTAAAACTACTTTCATCAGAATCAAACACAACTATTTTTTTATTTTTTTTAAAAAAAAAAAATATAAATAATTTTTTGTTTTTTTTTTGTTTTGCTTGAGGAATCAGCATAATTAGATTCTTGATTATTCTCTATTTTTAAAATATTATTAATCATTTTTTCATTATTTTTTTAGTCTTAAACATTTTTTTCTTCTTCATCCTCATCTTCATTTTCGTCTTCATCTTACTCAGTATTTGGATTTAATTAATTTTAGTTGAGAATATTATCTTTAGTATTATTAAAAGTACATCCATTATTTTACATCTTTTCTATAATTTTTAGAAGAATATCTTCTTTTTTTTAAATTATTAAATTTTCCTTTATTATTCAAGCACAATTTATTACAATTATAAATTTTCTTTCTAATAAATATCAAAATCAGAATTAGTCTGCGTTTATTTATTAACAATTTTTTTCTAAGAATTAGAGTTTGTAGTAGAAATATTATTTTGAAAAGAGTTTTTTTTTTCAACCTTAAGATTATGGATTCATTCTTTTAATTACAATTTCTAATTCTCGTCTTATTCTCTAATATTTTTAAAAGATTTTAATTATTGATTTAAGTCTAAATTTTTAAAATTCAAATGATGAATATAAGAATCTATACAAATTTTAAATTTTTAAAGATTTTCTTAAAAAAATGACTTTTTTTCTACTAATAAATTATATGCCTCCATTATTTATATATAGCTTTCTTCATTTATATCATTTTTTAATATTTTATCTAATTTTTCTCTTGTATTTTCCATCCAAATATTCATTTCTTCATAATTTATACTATTATTGTTGTTGCTTTTTTGTATTTTGTTGCTTATATTATTATTTGATTTCGAAAAAAGTGTATTCTTTTTATTTTTAGATAAAGGTTTTATCATATTGAAGCATTTAGAGTTAAAATCTATATAGTAGTTTTCCTTTTTTTAAAAAGGTGAATTATTTGTCATTGATACTACTTTTCGATGGTTATTATTTTAATTTTTAGTTTAAAAAAATGCAGGTTTTAATTTTTGGACATATTCATTTATTTCTTTTGGCATTTTTTATTACTAAAAGTTAAAACTTAAAGTTTTAGAAAATTAAGCTTTTTATATTTATAACTAATTTTTATTTTTTTATTCTTATTATTATTTATTTAAATTACTATTATTTTTAAATGTTAATGAGTTATTTAGTATTAAATTTTATTATTAATTTTAATTTTTTTGAGCATTATTTTCTTCATTTTCTTCATAGTTTTTTTCCCTTTTTTATACAGTGTTTATGATTAAGTAGCTTTTTTATTAATTATTTTATTTTTAATTATTATTATGTATCTTTTACAAGTCTTTGATAGATATTTACTTTAATTAATCAATTTTTTAGATTATAATACTATTAGCACTGTTAGAGTTTATTTATTATTTAATATTATTAATATTTTTTAAATGCGAGTAATGGTCTATTAACTAAGGAATTTATTATTAATGTATTTATAAATTATTTTGTAAATTTTTTTATGATTATGTATCCAATTTAGGCGATGTAATTAAATTAGTTAAGTTATTTGAAAATGAATTTATTAAAAGCTTTTTATTTATTTTTAAATAATTCTGTTTTGTTGACAGAAACTTTAATTTATTGTTTATATTTTTTTTTATTAATCTTAATGTAGACTATTTAAACTGACGTTTTGTAGCGTTTTTTTTCTTAATTTATTTAATCTTTGACTAAAGTATCAGGTTATATTTGTATATTTTTCTTTTCTTATTACATTTTTAATATGATTATTTTAAATTTATCGATATATTTAGTATTTTTATTATTTTTTAAATATATATAGATAAATATATTTATTGAAATAATTTTTTTCTTTATAATTTACATTATATTATATATTATATATTATATATTATATATTATATATTATATATTATATATTTTATTATTATTATTATTATTTTTATTATTATTAATATTATTATTATTATTATTATTATTTAAATTTATTACAATTAGATATATATTTATTATTTCAAAATTCATATATATTTTTCTTTATTTTAAATTTTCTTATAAATAAAATTAATATAATATAAATATTTTTTTATTGTAAATTAAACTTTAATTTTAAATTTAATTTTATTTATCTAAATAATCTATAAAAAAAAATATATTATTAATTTAAATTTAAAATATATTTTGTTTTACGAAATATTATAAAAATAATAACATTTATAAAATTTTTAATTTATTTAAAATAAAATACAATAAATAAAAAATATTCTTTAATATTATAAATAAAAATATTTAGATGTTTTAAATTATTTTAGTATTCCTTTTATTTTTATATAAATATAATAAAATTATTTAAATTTTAAATCATTTTTTATTTAATTATTAGTATTCATCAATAGTTTTAAAGTTTTTTATATTTTATAATTTTATATTTTAGTTTTCGATTTATATTTCTTTTGAAATTCTATTTAGATTATATAAAAAATAAAAATAAAAATTAATATACATTTTAAAAAAATCATTTAATTTATCTTAATCTTCAAAAGCAGGAATTTTACATTTTTAAGCATATTCAATAAGCTATTAATATCCTACAATTATTTTTTAATAAAATTAATAGGCTAATTATATAAAATAATTTAGACACAATTATATTAGTTTAATGTCAATATAATTATTTTATATCTCATATTATTAATTTTACTTATTTTTTTTTTTTAATAAAAAAAAAAATTAAATATTTTTAAAATTATTTATTTACATATATTTTTAAAATATAATATTGTCCTTAGAAATATATTCTTGCCCTACCATTAAAGATTTATTATTAATTTCTGATTAAAAGGAAGTGTTTTAACTATTTATAATTTTATTCTAACTTTAATATCTTTTTTTAGAATCACAATCTTAATTTAATATTTTTTTAATTATTTCAATAAAGAAGCTGATTGTTATTTACAAAACTCAGATTCTTAAATTCTAAAGACAATAAAGTATAAATTAATTTAATATTTTATATATATTTATGATACTTTTATTAAAAATATAATATTTCTCCATAATAATCATAAGAAACACTTAATAAATAAATAATTTTTTATTTATCGTCTATTATTTAAAAATTATAATCTTAATTATTTTTATTATAAAGCATTCTTTTTTTTTAATTAAAATAAAATAAAATTTATAACAAAATTAATATTTTAAAAATAGAAATACTCAATTAAGCATAACATTTAATTGTTAAAAAGTTAATTTTCATAGATATTTTTAGTTATTTTTTCTAAATATTCAATATTTATTATACCTTTGTTTATAATTTTCGATGCATCATCAAAGTTCTTAACATTTTTAAGGCAAAAGCTAACATTTAAACACATAATGGCCAATTAAAATAAATTTTAATATTAGTTTTGATAAATTAATCTGCTTCTAATTGCTTTATAAAGCATATTTATAGAAATATCTAATTTTCCTCTTAGCATATAAATAACTGCTTAATTATTTACAAATACGAAAAATTAATTTAAAATCTTTTAAAGAAAATCATGAACAATAAATTATTTTTAAGAAATTTTTGTTTAATCTAATTCTAATGAACTTCTCATTATTATTTTTATATTTTCATAATCAAAAGCTTGATTTTCACTAAAAAGCTAATATATTTCTTATAAATAATATAATTCTGAGTTACAATAAGGCTACATTTACTATAAAATAAAAATTATTAATTATTCTATGTTTTTGTATAAGAAAAAAGCTTATTTATATTCTTTATTCTATATATAGTTTTCTGATGTTAATGATGTTTTTTCTATAAACTAAATTATTTTTTCGGAATTCAATAAAGGGTTTTTATCATCTAATATTATGTTTTTTAATTATTCACATTCTATTTTATATGTATTTTCCATATTTTTTTATTTTTTTATTTAATTTTATTTATTTTTTTAAATTTATTTGATTTTTTATTTTTTTTCTATTTTATATTATTTTATTTATATGTTTTTTTTTATTTTTCGAAATTATAAAATGTTTGTTTTATATTTTCTTTTAATCGAAATCATTTTAATCGTAAAATAAATTTTATATTTTTTTTTATTTTATTTTTTAAAATTTATTTTGTTAATATTAAATATTAAAAAAAGTATAGTTTTTTTTTTCATTAATTATTAAAATACTTATTTTATTATTATATTAAACTAATATAATTATTTATAAAACACTTTAATTAACACATATGCAAATAGAGAGAATAATAAATAACTAGCAAAAAATATAAAATTAAATTTAATAAAAATGAAAACAGTATGTAACATAATTTATTTAATTTTTATTAAAAAAAAAAATAAAAATAAAAAAAATAATAATATTTAGTTAATAAAAGAATATAAAAATAAATTTATTTAAAAATAAATAACAATAATTTTTTTTTTTTATAAAATATTTCTAAAATTAAAAAAAATATATATATATTTATTTAAATTTTATAAACAAAATAATAATAAATTTTAATTATTATTATATAAAATTTTAAAAGTATTCTAAATATTTATTTTTTTCTCCATCATCTATATTCAGATCTTTTCTAACTTAGCCTTTATTATTACAGGATTAGCATTTTATAATATAGCTTTTCCTTCCGAAATATAATCAAAAGCACATTTATGGTCTTCAGGCATCCTATGTTTAGCACAAAAAGTAAAATTACATTTGCATTTAATTCCTTATAATCCAAGCTTTTTAGTACACATTTTACATCTATTTGTATCTATTTTTAGTTCTTTTTCTTCTTTTTTAGGTATTTTTATCTATTATGTTTATTTTTCTTCATTAATTTAAGAATTTATATTTTTCTTTTATTTGCTTTTTTTTTTTTTTTTTTTCAAATAATATTTTTAAAGACAAATTATTTTGTTTTTAAAATTAATAAATATATCTATGAAAACCTATAACATAAAGTACAAAGAGGATCACTTAAAGGACTTGAATAAAAGAGTTTGCATTAAACACAAAATTTTAATTAATTTTAAGTTTTATTCATTTAAATATTTTTTTTTTTTTTTTTTTTTATAAGAAATTTATTTAATAAAAATTATTTTTTTCAAATATAATAAATAAAATAAAATTAATAATAATTTACTCTTTTTTATAGAGTTTTATTAAATTATATTTGTATGCATTATTTCTTTTCAGAATTATTTTATTTTTAATATTTTTAAATATATATTCTAAATATTCTTTTTTTTTTTTCTTATTATTAATATATATTAATTTAAATTCTTATTTTATTAATATTTTTTTATTTTAATAAAATAGTTTAATAATATTATTTTTAAACCTTCTTTTAACAAGTGATTCGTAATTAAATTGCCTTAAAAAGTAAAGCCATAAATTGTAAAGTGAAGGACCTTGTTCTATCCTGGGGTCAACTGAAAATATAATATTAGGCCTGAAAGGCTTTGTCTTATAGGAAGTATGAGGCCACGGAACAATAGAGGTCAAGTTTTAGTCGTTTTCCTCCTTACATCTAAACGGGCTATTGACAGGACACAAAATCCTATTCCAATATGGGCCCTTCCACCCCCCACCCCAGTAAATTGATGGGAAGGAAATTAAAATTATATAGCAAAACTTGCTTATAATATAAAAATATATTCCATCGAATTATATAAATAAATAATTTATATATATGATTAATAAATACTTTTTTAATTCTTAATATAAAAGATACAAAAATAATTTAAATATAAAAAAATTTATATATTTACTAAACGTTTAAAAAAAATAAAAAAATATATTATATAAATAATTTTTTTAATTTAGAAAAATTAACACCTCATTTATTTAATTTATTTTTGAAAAATTAGATAACAAAAATAATTTAAAAAAATAAAAATAGAAAAAAATAAAAAAGGTAAAAATACATATTTATATGCAAAAATATATATATAAAAAATATAAAACAAAACTACATATATAAATATTAAATAAAAATTATAAAAAAAATGTCCAGCTAATAATTATAAAATGAAGTTTTTGATAAGCTCACTGCAATTCCTGAAAACAGATAATGTTTCGAATGCAGAAGCCCATCTTTTTAATGGGCATCAGTAAATAATGGAATATTTTTATGTTTAGCATGCTCTGGAGTACATAGGGGATTCGGAGTAAATGTTTCATTCATAAGATCTATAGATATGGATCATTTTACTCAAAAGTAACTAAATTTAATGCTTTAAGGAGGAAATAAAAAGCTTTGGGACTTTTTCGAAAGCTATAATATCCCAAAGGATAGTCCTATAGATTTCAAATATAAAACCAAAGCAGGAATTTATTATAGAGAATTGGTAATTTCTTTAACAAAATATTAAATAATAATAAATAAAAATAATAGTTAAAAAGTATTGTAGAAGGCGAATAATCACCTGATAAACCTTCATTAGAAGAAGGATTGGAAATTATTTCATTTTAAAATCCAAATTTTTTGAGTAATATATATTTTTTATTTTTTTAAAAAAAATGTAAAATTAAATAAAATTAGATGACATGTCTTAAAACAAAGGAATCACATCTTAAAATCATTAAAGTAATAATAATAAAAATGATGATACTCTTGATTAAGTAAAAAGCGTCTTAACAGGTGCTTTGACAAAAGTTACAGAAGTTGGAAAAACTGTTTATGAAAAAACTGCTGAAATTTCAAAAAATGTTTATTAAAAAGGAAATGAAAAATTAAAAGATGAATAATTTTAATAGGATGTCAATAATTTTAAAGAAAAAAGTAAAGAAACAATTATAAAAAATTACAAAACTATTAAATAAGTAAACAGAATTTTATTATTTTTTTTTACGATTTTTAGAAATAATTTTTTTTTTTTTTTTTTTTTAATTAATTAAAATAGGGATTTTTTTAAGTTTTGGGATTTTTTTAAAATTAAATTGATAATTTAGATTAAGGAAAACAATAAAATAAAAATAAATAAGAATAAGAATAAGAATAGAAAGAATTTGGATAATAAAAGGAATAATAAAAATGGTAATTATAATAAGAATGGATATAATAAGATTATAAAAATTGATTTTTATTCATTTTTTAATATTAAATTTTATAAAAAATATCAATTATTATATATTAAAATTCGTAATATGTTTAATAAATGTTATAATACTAATGTTTTAAACATTTTTATTAAAAATTTATATAATATTTATAAAATAAAATATACTAATTAATCATAATTAAAAAAACTAATTATTAATATTATATTATATTTATTTAATTATAATTTAATTAATTTCCTAATTTTTTATTATAAAAATTGTGAAAAACAATTATTTTAATTTATATTCAAAAAATAAAAAAACTTAATATTATTTATTATTAATATTTTTCTATTTAAAAAAAAAAAAAAAAAAAAAAAATTAATATTAAAAATCATATTTCTAAATATTGAAAAAAATTGTTTTAATTTAAAATAATTATCTTAATAAAAATAAGTTTTTTTTTTTTTTTTCTTTTTACAATAAATATAAAATTTAGTTTAATATATAATTTTTAATTAAATATCTTTTCTTTTTTTCTTTTTTCATTTCTCTTTGTTATATGATTATTCTTTTTTATTTTTAAACTCTTTTTAAAATAAAAAAACAAAATTAGAAAAAATATTTTTAATTATAAAAAATACTACATGCATATGAATCATTATATTTATCACTATTAAAGCTTTTATTATTAGATTAATTATAATTAGTAATTGAATTTTATAAAGGTTTAACTTATTAATGAAAAGAGTCTAATATTATTAATTTATATAAATAAAAATAAAATTAAAAATACTAATAGATTTATATTTTTCATAAGAATTGTTTAATATTTCTTATGAATTATTTTCTTTTTCAATAAAAGATTTTAAATGAGCATTTTCTTTTGTTTCGCCGCTATTTTAACCATCATATTATAAATTTTATACTTGATTTTTATTAGTTTTATTTTAAATAATCCTTAAAGTAATTTCTTTCATTTAAATAAACTTATCATAAATTTAATTAAAATTAATAACTTAATTTTACATAAAATAAGAACTCATCTTAATGACATTATTTACATTTAATTCTTATTTATTTTATTAAATATTATTTAATTATTTTTCTATATCTATTTAGAATTTCTAAATTTCATTAAAAATATTAGACTTACATTTACTTAATTCATTAATAATTTATCCTAAAGCTTAAGTCGAACCTTCTAAATAAATCAATTTATCACATTCGGCTGTTTCTTGTTACATTTATTTAATTTTCTCCTATAAAGAGGCTATTTTTCCTTTCTAAATTCTTATTTCGCTTTCATATTCTTAAAATAATTTAACTGCATCATTAAAATATATTATTTTTTCTTTTTAATTATTTTAACTATTTCCTCTTGTACCACTTTTTTTTATTTTATTTTTTTGTTTATAACAAAAAAACTTCCTTTTTTGTTTTTGTTACAAAATTTGCTTTGAAATATTAAATTCTTATTCTTTTTTAGTTTTACTGAGTTTTGTTTTTAATTTTAAAATTTTATTTTTAGCTTAAATTTAATCAAAATTAATATTCTTATTCATTTATATTTTCAAATCTTTTATTTCTTATTAAGTTTATTTTTTTATTTTTTCCACAATTCTATTATATTTACTTTACCAAATTTAATTTAAACCAAAAAGAAGTTATTCGATATGATCTTCACTTAAAATATTATTATATTTATTAAATACATACTAAATACAATCTTAAGGAGCCCAAAGTAGTTTTTCAGGAATTAAATTTTATTAACAGCAACGTTTAATTGTTTAAGTTTAAGTTTTTTATTCCAACATACAATTTTTTAAAAAATTTTAATTATTTTTTAAGTAGCTTATTTATGTAACTTGTTCGGCAAATTATGATAAATCTTTAAACTTTATTTTGTAATAATATATTTTTATTTTTTTTTAATTAAAATAAAATTATATATAACTTCTTATGTTTATTTTAATAAGTGTAGAAGTCTTTCAATATCAGATTTTAAATATTTAATTTCTATTGAAAAATTTTCTTTTTCTTATTTATCAATATTTATTTCATTCACGAATTTTTCACCCTTTTATTTTTATTAGGAAAAAAAAAAAACGAAAAAATTACTTATGAAATTTTATTTTTTAATCTTTCATTTTCTAAAGTTTATTATTATAATTAATTAATAATTTTTTAATTTTCATTCATAATTAATTTATTTGTTTCCAATAAATGTTTAATTTGATTTCTAGCATCATCTAAGGACATTTTTTATTCATTTTATACAATTTATTTTTATTCTAGATTTTATTATATGAAATTACTATTATATTTCGATTAATCTAATAACTAAAATTATATATTTAATTTTATTAATTTATATATATATATATATATTTATATATATATATATATATATATTTTACTTCTTTTTAGTTTTATGAATATTGCTAAATTTTATATTATTTTTCTTTTAGTTATTATTAAAATTTTTAATTTTAACATATTAATTATGATATCTTTTTATTATATTAATCTAATTTTTAATCTTGGTATTTTATTTTATTTTAGTAGATTTATATGTCATCATTATTTTTTTACAATTAAGATTCATTTTAGTTTATTTAACTCGTTATACTATTTTTTCTATATATTTAAGTTTAATATTTAACGTTATTTTAAATAAAATCAAAAGACATATTTTTATAATCGTCTTTTTTTTAATATTAAGAAAGGTTTAATTTACCTTTTCTTTAATTTCTTTTATTCTTTTAATTTTTTTTTATTGTTATATATAAATATTTAATTGTACTATTATTTTACGTCTTTCATTATTTTCCATTAATTTGTTAGTTTTTCAACGTCTTTTCGACTTAAAAGATCATCGTCGTCATCTTCATTTTTAAAATTTAAAGAATTTTTTATTGTATTTTAGTTTAATGTTAACATTTTTTGTATTTTTATTATAAAAAAATTCGTTATATAAGTAAAAATTAATTTAAATTAAATATACTTCTTTTCATCAACAAAAAACATAATAATATTTAATTTTTCTCAAATTTTAATACTTTTTATTTTATAAATAACTTATTCTCTAAAAAAAAAAAAATCTAATTAAAAAAAAAATATTAATATTAAATTAAAAAAAAAACTTAAAAAATATAAAAAAATTAAAAACCAAAAAAAAAATGAATAAATAAATGGATATACAATAATTTGAAGAATAAAATAATATAAATAATGATGAAAGCATCTATATATGGGATGAATAGGAACAAGACGATATTTTAGAAAAGCAAGAATGGAAAAAAGATCCTAATTATTTTAAAAAATGCAAAATATCACTATTAGCAGTATTAAAGATGTTAACTCATGCCCGAATGGGAGGACATAACGAAGTAATGGGATTATTTTAAGGAAAAATTAAAAATGATACGATAATAGTAATGGATTCATTCGCCCTTCCAGTCGAAGCAACAGAAACAAGAGTAAACGCATCATCTGATTGTAATGAATTTATAATATAATAAGTTGAACTTTTAGAAAAAGCAGGAAAAATGGAAAATGTGAGAGGTTTTATAAAATAAAAAATATAATAATATATATTATATAATATAAAATTATAATTTAAAAAATAATATTTATTTATGATTTTTAATAAACTAAAATAAAATAAAAATGAATAAAATAATCAAAAATATTATTATTTATATATAAATATATATAAATAATAACATTAAAATAAAAATATGAGTATATACAAAAAAATAATATTTAAAATTTCATATAAATATGATAATTATTTATATAAATTAATTATAAATACTATTTTTATATAAAAATATAAATATAATACATATATTATAACATAATTATATAATAATATATTATAAATATATATATATATATATATATATATATATAATTATATATATATATAACATAATAGAATATATAATTTATAATATGTAATATATTATATATGATATTATTTATATAATTTATATTATTTTTTTATAGGTTGGTATCATTCTCACCCTTCTTATGGTTGCTGGCTTTCAGGTATAGATGTTTAGACATAAACTTTATAATAAAAAGCAGATCCTATGTTAGCCATAGTAATTGATCCTATAAGAACTATGGCGTCAGGTAAAATTGAAATTGGTGCTTTTAGAACTTATCCAGAAAATTTCAATAAATAAGTAGATTAAGGATAAAATTAATAGGTTATTCCTCTAGATAAAATAGAAGATTGGGGTGTTCATTATAAGAAATATTATGCTTTAGAGGTGAGTTTTTTTAAGACTAATTTAGATTCTGAAATTATTGAGGTTTTATGGAATAAATATTGGATTAATACTATTACTTAAAGTGCTATATTTATTAATAAAGAATATTTTGTTAATAGTTTAAATGATTTGAGCAATAAAATGAAGAATGCTAAAAACAAAGGAAGAAAAGGTGACACTGTTATAACCGTTAATGATCTATTAGGGAAAAATAGTTTAGGTGAAAAAGAACCAATTAAATATGCATTGGAAAAAAATTAAGCTTTGGTTAATGAATCTATTAAAAATTTATTATTTTAATATTAATTTTGATTAATAAAATTATATAATATATATTTTTTATTTTAGTTAAAAAAAATAAAATTTCAATATTATCTATACTTTTTATTATTTAAAAAAAAAAAAATTTAAAATTATATATTTAATTGTTCTTTTATTTTATATTTTAGTTAGTATTATTATTATTATTTTTATTTTATTTTTTTAAAAAAAAATAATTAAAAAAATAAAAAAAATGTAAAATTAAATAATACTTTTTGATTTAATTAATAAATTTATGTAAATAGGAGAAGATGATTACTAAAATAAATCCCAAATAAACGACTAATGGTAAAATTTCAAACAACTAATAACTACTTAACCAATAGATTATCATTAAGTATTTATGTTTATATCAAAAATAAACGAAGAACAAGAAAAAATAGTATAGCAATAAACATCAAATAACACAGGACCAACAAATAATACCCGAACAAATAATTTTTTTTAAGGGAAAAATAATAATAATAAATTCGAAATAAATATGTTTAAAACATGCCAAGGATCAACAACAAATAAAAATATAAAAAAAACATCAGAAAACAGATCACATACACGTGAAATATTAGGTTTAAAAAATGAAAATAATCGTCAAAGTTTTAACTCTTCTTAATCTAATTTAAAGAATTAAATATTATCAAATAATTACTAAAGTGTTGAAAATACAAGAAAAATATAATTGTAAAATAATTATTTTTAACTAAAAAATTTCGAGAAATTCATTGGGAAAAAAATGATGCCCTTTTTCTCCAAAAGTAACAACCTTTTTTTTTCAAATTTTCTTCTTTTAGAAATCCCTTTAAATTTAAATATTTTAAATATTATTTCAATTGCTTATTTTCTCATTCTAATCAAAGATTTAAATGAAAAAAATTACTCTCCCTTTTTTTTTGAAATCTTTGAAAAAGTTTATTATAAAAAAATACTTTTAAACGACATTATGTACACCTCTTTTCTCAAAATTATGTCCAATATAATACATTAATACCTAAATAATAACAATAGTTTTATTAAAATTTAAAAAGCATTTATTTCTGCAGTTTAAAATGAACCGATATTTTTAGAAAGTCTTGTTTTTTTAATAAAAGAATTGACGTGTGAATATATAGAAAATAATGAAGGTGAAATTATTTAACAAATACTAGGCAATACACTATAAGAAAAAAATAAAATTTGTTAAAAAATAAGATCATGGAAGGAGTTAAAACCAGAATTTCTATTTTTAATAGCCGTAAGTATATAAAAGCCAATCGAAATTTATACTTTTAAAGAAAATAAATTAGAATAAAGACTTTTTAAAAGTAAAAAAATGTGCGAAAATCTACAAAAAATAAATATTTTCGAAAAAAATAATAGCTTTTTTTTACTATTACTCTCATAAAAAGAAACAACAGATGTTTTTACTAATTTATAAGATGTTTCTTTCCATGAAGATATAAATGTAAGTAAAATAGCCAATAAGATAAGAGCATTATTAGATGATTAATAATAATAATAATAATAATAATAATAATAATAATATTAATAATCATAATAAATATAATAAATATAATAAATATAATAAATATAAAATATTTAAGTTAGGTCTCATTCTATAAAAAGTAATAATGTTTAAAGTCCGAAAATGCTTATTAAATAATAATAGCTTAATTTAAATAACATTCAAAATAATATGAAATTTAATTTGGTTTTTTTACAATAAAAAAGTAAAGAACTTAACCTTATTTTGAAAAATAATTCAGATAAAATTAATTCGATTGCTAAATTGGCACATTTTTAAGAATAAAACTTTTTTGTTGAAAAAAGTCCTTTGAAATGTAAAAATATGGTCTATCCAGTTAAATAAAATAATAATAATAAATCTCCTCCTTCTTATAATTTCGGAAGAAATAATCATTTTAATTGTCAAAATTTCGCCGATTATAAAAAAAACGAAAACAATAATTATATTAATTTTAATAATAGAAATTCACCTAAAAAAAAAAGCATAAATACTTATTATTGAAAAAAAATAAAAAAAAAAAATATATTATATTTATTTATTTTATATATATATATATATATATATATTTTATTTTATTAATAAAAAATAAAATTTTATAAAAAAATTCATGATTTTTATATTCATATTTATCAAAAAAAAAAAAAAAAAATTATAAAATATAAAAATATTTTATGTCTTTATAAAAAAATAGTCTTTCCAATTCTTCATTTGAAAGTAATTTCTTTTCAGTAAAAGTAAAATCATAAAACAGTTTTGATTAATTGTAAAAAAGATCTTAAAGCAAGTCGCCTTTTCATATAAATATATCAAAAAAATTAAATTTTAATGATAAAACAATAAAAAAATCAAATATCGATTTATTAAAATTATTCCAAAAAACTAAATCGGTGTAATTTTATATAAGCAACTTTTTTATAAAAAAAAAGAATAATATATATATTGATATATATATATATATATATATATAGATCATTCGAAAAAAATATTTTCTGACTAAAAAATTCTCCTCTTTTATTAAAATTTAAAAGCGATACTATAAATAATAAATAAACAATCAAATAATATTCCAATCAAACTAAATTAGCTAGAACAAGTGAATCTATAGAAGGTATTTATTATTTTTTATTAAAATAAAATATAAATAATAAACAAAAACAACATATTTTTAGAAAAAAGAATTAAATAAAAATAATTACCATTTTATTCGAGTAAAAAATATGTAAAAAAAAAAAAAAACTTTTTTTTATTTTAAAAAAAAAAAAAAAAAAGTTTCAATTTAATATAAAAAAACATTCTTTTCTTCCAAACACAAACGAATTAAAATTTCTTCGCGAAAACCTAATAAGTAAAATTTTCTAAACATTCAAATAAAAAGGAAAAGCGCCTTAAACAAATCTTTAATTCTATAAAATAATCAAATAAATAGGTGAAGGAGCCTTTTCGAAAGTCTTTTTAGCCCTCTAAATAATAACTGGGCTCCCAGTAGCCTTAAAATAAATATCTAAAAACACCTTAACATCAAAAGTAGCCTAAAATAGGGTATTATAGGAAGTTGAGATATTAAAAAAACTACAAAATCATCCCAATATATTATAAATATTAGAGGTTTTTGAGAATAAATCACATATATTTATTGTTTGTGAGTATTTCGAAGGCCAGGATTTAATGAAAATGCTCAGAAATTAAAAAAATAAATAATTTTTTTAAGAAAATTTTGTCAAGAATATATTTCTGTAAATAATTTAAGGAATAAAATTTATGCATTAAAATAATATAGTTCATAGAGATATAAAACTTGATAATATACTCATAGACGAAAAAAACAACATCAAAATAATTGATTTTGGGATTTCTTTAATTTTAAGAAATTTTAATGAAATCATATATGAAAAATGTGGTACTCCGGCCTTTTTGGCACCCGAAATCATCATAAATAAAGGATATTTACCACCTAAGAGTGATATTTGGAGCTTAGGGGTGGTTTTGTATACATTATTAGTCGGAAAAATACCATTTTAGGGAGATGAGTTATTGATTTTGGAAAACAGTATAATAAATAAGGATATAGATGATAGTTAAATTGCTCACTTAAGTGAAAAATGCTAATAATTGATTAAGGGGATACTTATGAAAAACGAAAATTAGAGATTTACATTAGATTAGATTTTAGAATAGGGATGGATTGATAATAATGCTTTTTTTTCTAATGAATAGTGTAAAAATTTAAATGAGTTTGATTAAAATGTATTGGGGTTTTTGGGAGAATTCGGATATTCAAAAGAGTATATTTGGCACTAGTTTTAGAAAAAAGATGGGGTATCGCATATTAATGCTATTTATAAATTAATATAAATGTATAAATATTGACATAAAAAAAAAAATATTAATATATATGTATATATATATATATATTATATATCTATATATTTAAAAAAATAAGTTTTTTTTTTTTCTTTAAGATATTTTATATTTATATTATATTTTTTTTTATTTCAATGTAAAATTTAAATTTAAATACAGTTTAAGAAAAAATAGAATATGCTTAATAATTAAAAGAAGAAGGAAATAAATATTTTAAAGAAAAAGACTATAAAAAAGCTCTTTAGGCCTATAATAAAATAATATTATATGTAAACGGTTTAGTAGATGAAAATAGTGAACTTTATCAATATGGAAATGCAGAAACTCGCATAAATTAATAATAAACTGTTTAAGTGATAGATTTGAAATGTTCAGCTTTTTTAAATATGTCTTAAATAGATTTATTTAATAAAAATTGGGATAAATGTATATATAGGACAAGTAAGGCTTTGGAAGTTAAAGCTTCTTCCGAAAAAGCTTATTTTAGGAGGGGTTTAGCATATGTAGAATTGAACGAATATTAAAAAGCGAGAAACGATTTTAATAAGTGTTTAAGTTTAAATCCTAATTTAAAGGATTAAATAGAAAAATAAATAAAGATTTTGAATATAAAAGAAAAAAATGAAGACTTAAAAAACATTAAAGTTTATTAAAAAATGTTTTCTTGAAAATATAAAAAAATTATGAAATTAAAAAAAAAGCAAAAATCTATTTTATTTATAAGTATAAAATATATAAATAGAAAATATAATTTTTTTATTTTTTTTTCTCAAATACATAATTTTTTATATGGCGAATTATTAATTAAATCTTAGTCTTAATTTTTTTTAATATAATTACCTATTTCTTTTTTTTTCTCAATCTTAACATATTTACAAAAAGCTTCTCTTATATCTTAAATAAATCCCACATCCTTATTATTAACAACATAAATCCTAACAATTTTTTCACCGAAACTCTTTGGAGTTAACAATGAAACAGTATCCGGATCTAAAAATCCACATTTTTAAATCTTTGAAGGCGCAAAAAACATCACTTTTCTAACTGGATCTAGATTATTCATACAATAAGACACACGAGAAATACTTACTCTAATAAATTTCTCTAATTAACTATCTTTTTAATTTAAATATTTTTATAAGCCTTCAAAAACTTCCTCTTTTGTGATTTTTTCATCTATCCCGCAAACAAATTCACAGACGAATTTATATAAATTTCTCTTAAAAATCCTTTCTAGGATTTCCCGACTTTCCTTCAACTCTTAATTTTCTGAAAAAACTATATCTTCTAAAATTCTATCAGTTAATTTCTAATACTACTTCATATCTTTAACTATATTCCTAAAATTATAAACCGAATTTGCTTTTTCCAATGCATCACAAAGCATATACTCTATTCCCTAAGCAACTCTATGTAAATATGCATTTTTGAACATTTTATACCTTGTTTGGAATAATTCATATATTTCGCAGTGAATTTTCGAGTTATAGCATATATTATCATCAATAATACGACTTTCTTTAAATAAAAAATCGCACTGAAATTAATGTCTTATTCCCAAACATAAAGGATCTCTTGATAAATAATCAAACTTATCCACATCTATAGTAGTATTTTTATTATTAACAATATCGAAAATCCACATAGGATATTTCCCTTTATATTTCTGTAATCTCTATTCATTATTTATCCCTATTATCATATCTAAAATAACATCCAAATCCCCTTTATTCGGATCAAAATTAACTCCTTTAAAGTAAATAAGGTTCTCCTATTAATTAAATCCATTTTCTTCTAACAAAAATTTCAACATATCGCAACTTCCCTATTCATGACTCCAATGCTTTTCCCCTAAAAGAGGCATTAATAAATTATCAAACATATGAGAAAATGGACCATGTCCTAAATCATGGCATAAACCAGCAATAGTGACTAATAATTGGGCTTTATAAAATCCTTTTTCATCTTCAAAGTTCAACTCTTTATAATTATTGTGGTGATTTAGTAATATTTGTGTCATATATTGTTAGGCTAAATACGCTACTCCCAAGCTATGCTCAAATCGGGTGTGGTTTGCACCGTTAAATACGAAAGATGTTATCCCTAATTACTTAATATTACGTAAACGTTAGAATTATGGAGTATCTATTATTCGCCATATTTATGCTGGGAGTTCTATTAGTTAATGTACGGGGTCGGATATTTTTCTATATTCGTCTTAGCCTTGCTATTTGAATGGAATTGAATTGGAATTTGAATTTACGTAATATAAATGACTTTAGTTTTAAGATAAAATAGAACATTTATTAGACATTTTTTTTTTTTTTTTTAATAAATTTATAGTTTGTTTGTTTTTTTGTTTTTTTTTTAAATATACATATTTTTTTAAAATTAATGTTATGTATTTTCATTAATAAAATGCTTTTTTAATAATTATATTTTAAAAAAATTAAATTTTTAAGTAGAAATGATTAAATATATTATATAAATATATACTTTTTTATTTTTATATTTAATTAATTTTATTTTTAATTACACAAATAAACTAATTAACTATATAGTATTATATGATTTTTTTATATATATATTTTATTATTTAAAAGCAATTTTTTTTTTGAAATATGGAACTTATTTTTTTTGTCAAAATAAAAAAATATTTATTCTTAAAATAAATAACTTATTCATAAAAATTAAAAAAATATATATAATTTAAATTTTATTTATAAATAATTTATTAAAAAATATATATTGATTAAACTCACTTTGCTTATAAGCTATAATATTATATAAAAAAAAAATTACATAAATTTATAATAAAAAACAATATATATAATATATTATTTTATTATTTATTTAATGAATTTAAAGATTATTAAATAATACAAAATCATTATATTTTTCAAATACATATTATTTTGTAAAATTTATACTAATTTATTAAGAAAATAAAAAAAATTGTTAATTTATACAATAAAATATATTTATAAAAAAATTTGAATAATATATATATTTTATAATATTTAATTTATAAATTTAAAAAAAAAAAATTATAAAAAATATTTTTAAAATTATGAATTTATACTTTAAAACATATGTATATTGATATATATAAAATAAAAAAAATATTAGCATCATTATATGTATAATTTTATAATCCGAAAAATCTATTAAAATTATTATCTTAGATTTTTAGTGTAAAAGAAATATACAATAATAATAAATTTAATTCGAAAATTCAATTATTAAAATATAAACTAAAATGTCATTTGATATAACAAAGATATTTCAATGTAATTAATTGAAATTTTTAAACACTATATATATTTATTAGATATATGCTCTTTAGTCATTTTTAATATATGTTTCATAATTAAAAAAGATTAAAATATATATTAATTTTCATTTAATATATATAATTATATTTTTATTATAAAAATAAACAAAACATAAACGTCAATTAAATTAAAAATATAAATATTATAATCGGAAAACTAAACAGTCTAAAAAATATAAATATAAATTAAGATTATAATTTTAATAAAATATAAAAAAAAATTAAGAAGCATAAGGCGATTAAATAAAATTAAAAAATATATACCAGTAAATAAACTAGAATGAAAATTAAGTTCAATATATAAATAAAATTGTTAAAAAAGTGTTTTAAATAAAATCTTTAAGAAAATCTTGATAAATCAATTCAACCAAACTTTTTTTCTTTAAATAGTTCAGTTTTATTAAAAGGGGCGATTCCCCCGAATAAAAAACATGGTTATAATAGTAAATAATAGCCTCTATTATTATATTATATTTCAAAAGCATAATAATTCTATGAAGATTAATAAAGGCAAATAAAACGATTATTTAAGCCAAGATTAATTAATAATGTAAATTAATTTATATATAGACTATATTTTTAATTAAAATATGATGCTAAACTATACGTGATAATTTTTAAATGAAAATAAAAGCCTATTAAATTATTTTAATCAAATAAAAAGATATTAATAATAATATAGTATTACTGGAGCATACTTTTATTTCGTATTTATTTGGGTTCGTTGATATAAATTTAGATAATATAATGATAAATAATAAAAAAAAAAATTTTTAGTTGAAATTGAATTGCTTGGAAAATAAAAAATTAAAATAAAAATTTCTATTTATATCGAATAATTTTTTGGAGGCAGGAAAACACAAAAATATAGTTATTGTCCTTAATTATTCAAATAAATATATAATTGTTGAACTTTATGATTTTTGTTATAGATTTTATATTTTGTAAAAATAAAATAAATATCTTTACTTTAAATAAAATAATTAACAACAGATTAAATTTTACTATAATTAAATATTTATTTTTATTTTAAGAAAAGTTTTGTAATATTTTTTTTTACCTTTTCCATTAAATATTTTTTATTTTATAAATAATAAGTATATATCATTCTAATACTTTTAGTATTTCCTACATAGTACATATTTTTTCTCTTATTTTATTTTTAGATTAACCTTTTTATAATTCATATTAATCAATTTTTAACCAATCTTAAAAGCTAACTACCCTAATCTTTTTCTCTTATAATATCTAATTAATATAATGTTCACATTTATTATCTTTTCTTTCCAAAACTTCATTTCTGAAATGATTATATATATTATTTGTTGTTTCCTTAATAATATTAAATAAAAAAAATTAAAATAAAAATTACGATACAACCAATCATAGTTTAATCTAGAATACCAATTGGACCAGTTTTTACCCATCCACTAGTATAGACTCCAAGTTAAACTTTTTATTTATCTTCCATAGAAAGTACACATCCATTACTATTTTCGATGGTATTATTTTAATTATTCCAAGGAGTATATTTAGGATCTATATTATAACTTTCATATCCAATACACCTTAAAAGTAAATCACATTGAATATTTACACTTTAAGATTTATCTTAAATGCATATTTATTAAAAAGGTTCACCTTAGAGCGTATTCTTATAAAAATCAACAGATTTAATTTACCCATTTTATTAATTTACACGATATGGGCTTAATAAAACTCTCAAAAAGATGTTTATTTAATTCTCATTTAACTTCTTTATATCCTTGATTGTATCAATTACAGGTATATTATTCAATATTTTTTATTTACGATAATTTGTACGAGCTATTATTGTTTTAGAAAACATTTAGTCGTTAAATTCTGTTTAGGATGTTTTATTAAAACTTTTTTCATATTCGTCTTTTAAAATATAAAAATTTGCACTTTTATTTTGAATAAAATCCCTATTTTTATAAAACATATAATGATTTAAAATATATATATATAATAAAGTAAATATAAATATATATATATATATATATATATATATTTATTTATATTTATATATATATCTGTTTAGTTTATTTAATATACCTAAATTCTTTTGCAGAAAATTATGATTATATTAAACCTCTTCTTCCAACTATATGTATCTTTTTTATTTATAATTAAAAAATATATTATTATTTATTTATTGTTACATTTTCTATATTATTTCCCTTTATATTTTTAAGAGCTGGTGTATATATATCTGTTTCATCCAATGTGTTGTTTTTTGCTTTTATTAAAGTTCTTGAAACATCTAAAGCCACATTTCCATTGCTTTTTTTTTTATTATTATTATTATTTTATTTTTTTGTTTAAATACCCTATAATTACAACATTCTTTATTTTACTAAAATCAATATTTAAATCTATATAATCAGGATGTCCATTATACCAATTAACCAATTATCTTCCCGAAAAAACATTTTTCAAATCTTCACCTGGAATTCCTAATTTTTTATCATCTATTTTTTTTTTTATTATTAAATTTAAAAATAAAAAGTTATTTTATTAACCCAAAAATTTAAATAAATACTTTAAGCACCATATGAATATATTATTGCAGAATAATGTTTTTTTAAATCCTATATTAATAAATCTTTACCCTATTAAAAAAAAAAAGTTATTTTTCATAAAAAATAATTCTCATTACAATTTCTACGTTTCCAAAAAAACGAAAATTAGCATATGTACCTACTTCGCTAAGTTATTTTGTAACTTTTTTTATTGATTAATGGTCTGGGGCTACTCCGTATCTTACTAATCCATAAGGAAAAGGAGTTTTCTCGAATATATGGATATGGGCTAAAGGATTATCTTAAAATATTTTTTTTGCAGTATAAAAGCCAGCAGGACCTCCTCCTATAATCTATATTTTAATTAAATTAAAGTTTTATATGTTTTTTATTTTTACAGCATAAATGATACTTTTTGACATATTATTTTTTATTTTAATTATTAAAAATAGATTTAATTTTAAATATAATTGAAATAAAAGCTGTTTTATATTAAAATATTATAATAAAAAACAAATTTTTAATTCATTTAAAGAATCAAATAATCATATTAAGTAAAAAAAAATATTTATTAAAATTCTAATTTAATTTTCTTAATTTTAAAACAAATAGCATTTTTATTTAAAATAAACTATTTTTAATCATATTAAATAAACAGACTTAGTTATAATTAAGAAAAATAAACTAAAAATTTAATTACAAATTATTTCTTGAGAAAAAAAAAGTAAAAAAAAGTAAAAAAATTGTTTTTTGTATGTATTTTTTATCAAGATAAATAAAAAAAAAATATTATTAAAATATATATACAAAATAAAGAAAAAAAATTATTAAAATAATCATTAAAAAAAAAAAAAAATAGCCATTAAAATATTTAAAAAATCGAAATAAAAATGTATTAATAATATGAAGAATAGCAAAGTTAAGATTATTAGTAAAGAGATTCGATTTAAAATTCAGAAAAGCAATCATTATCAGTTTTATCATAATCAACAGGTGGAATAATATTAAATCCTGATGGGACATATTAATTAAGTACAAAAAAATTGGAATTATTATAAATAAATAATAATTAAAATAGTAAAGAAAATAGATCAAAATGATTATAAATAAAAGCAAATATATGTACCATAAGATAATTAAAATGAAAATATGATTTTATCATCATCATCAAGTTTATTAACAATACCCGCAAATTAAGTTCTTTTACCTTTATTTTCGGGTCCAAACTAACCTTTTTTTATAAATTACATTGCTTTACCAATTTTTGTAGATGAAATAATTGATATGTATTAAAAACACAACGTTTCTTTTAGTATTTTTTTAACTATTTAGTTTATTATTGAAATCGTTTTCGAAATGTTGACTTTTAGATATAAAGATAAAACGATTTAAGATGTTTATTTTATTATTAATAATATATTTATAATTAAAAAAAAAAAAAAAAATTAAAAAAAAAAAAAAGCTAGAAAATATTTATGGAAACTTAGATAAAAATATACTTTATAATATTTTTCTTGGATTATATATTTTAAATATGATTTACATTTTTGTTTATTATATATTTGGTTTTCTTACGGTTTTAAAAAAATCTATAAATATAATTAGATTTTTTTCAGTTGCGGCTATGTTTGGATTAGCTTTAGAGATTATTTTAAGTTATATTGATGAGTAAATAATATATATTATTATTTTTAAATAAAATACAAAATAATAATAATAATTTTTAATATAAACTACTATAGATTTAATGTTATGATATTTTTTTTTCGAATTATTGCTTATGTATATTCTAAGTTCATATCTCATTTACTTCTTTAGTTGTTATTACTTCCTCGTTGAAAAAATAAATAAATAATAATTTATAATTTCATTTAGGTTTTATTTTATTTTTTGAATTTATATAAATGTTTTCTACTTTATAATATATAATATTTATGAAACTAAAAAAAGAAAAAATATAATATTAAATAAATTATTAAGTTAGTTATTTTAAAGTTTTTATAAAACAAAATTAAAAATACCAAAAATAAAATAAAAATGACAACTAATGATGATGATTTTTTATGGCTTTTAAATGTTTTAAAAGAAGTAAAAATAAAATAAAATAAAAAATTAAATTAAATAAAAACAAAAATAGTCTCCAATCGATTTTCATACAATCCATAAAATAAAGTTTACAATAAACAATGTAATAATAATGAAATAAGGAGAGCCTAAAAACTGGTTTTTTACAAATGAAAAAGTATGCAATTAAAAGTATATTTAAAAAAATAGATAAATAATAAAATCTAAAAAAAAAAAAAAACCTCAAAAAAAAAGGGAATTATAGAAACAAAAGATGAAGAATGGCTTAAATTGAATGTAATAAAAGAATATTTCAAAAATCCAAAAATAAGAAAGTAAGATTTGGCTGAAATCGAAAATTAAAGTGATACGGTTTATCTTAATTTTTCGGAAAAAACACCTTCTTTAAAAATCGATTTGCAAGATAAATTTCTATTTTATTTTTATTAAAAGGTCAGAGATTCAGTTGTAAATATTAAAATATATTTAAAAAACAAAGAAACCAATTTAATAATTATATCAATATATGTTTTTATAAAAAAGGTTATTAGACCTGCTTCATAATCAGTTATAGAAGAACTTTTATCAAAGCCCTAAGATTATTAAGAGTTTTTAAACTATTTAACGAAAATAATAGGATATTATCCAATAAATTCATATAAAGGATGTTCTCTATATTAAGTACAATATAATGGTAAGAAAAAAAGTACAACTATATATAGAAAAACAGTCTAGCATATATAATTGGAGTAAAATAAAAAAGAGAGAAATTATTTTTATTTAAAAATAAAAAAGATATGACGAATTTATAAAAAAAGAAGGCCAATAAAAAAAACGTATTAATTTTAACAAAAAATGTTCCGGTCATTAGCCTCTAAAATAAATGAAAGATGTAACAATTTTATAATGAGTATTGTCCATTTTTTAGAATCGAAATTTCATAAAACAATTGCCGAAATTTCATTAGAATTTTTCCTTAATGATAGTGATTAAATATATTTTTCAGGGGCAGAAAGAATCTGTTTTAATAATTAGGAAGGAGAAGCTGATTTTAATTATGATAAAAATAATATGGAAGCTTTTAAAGTACTTCTTTTTTTATTTTATTTTGAAATTAAAAAAACAATATAAACCTTTAATTTAATATATATTAAATAAAAAAATATAAAAAGCCTGGTTTAAAAGACTTTACCAAATGCGAAGGTATTTATTGTAATTGTGATTCTTAGTCTAATAATACGTTTTATGATGAAAATGATGAGGCTTTTTCTTTATATGTAATATTTTTTTTTTTTTCTATATTAGATATAAAATTAATATTATTTTTTATTTAAAAAGGTTATGAAAAATAAAAATAAATAATATTAATCCAGATATATTTAATACAAATCAATATATTTAGATATAATAGAAAGATTTAAAACAAAATAAATAATTTAAAGGCTAAATCCTCAAGTTAAGATTACTGAATAATTATTATTTAAAACAAGAAAATGTATCAAATAAAAATAATTAAATAAGTTTTTTTTTTATTTTTTTAGTTTATTCTATTAGTTAATTAGCAAACAGTAAATAATTTAAACATTTTAGATTTGATAATTTCTATAAAAGGGTTAGAGTTTGTTAATATTGTGAATGTATGTATAATAAAATAGATAATATAAGAGCAAATTATTTATAATAACCTAATCTTTAATAAATAACAACAGAACAAATATAAGCAGAAATCGAAAAACTTTCTAATTCTTAAGGATTTATACGTAATAATAAATATATTTAAAAAAAATATATATATATATTTGAATTAAAATAAAAATAGTTGGTGGTACTTAACTAAAAGAAAGATAATTATTTACAGATAAGTTCTTTAAAAAGCTTGAAAATTTTGATAATGAAAAAGAAGATTTTGAAAGAAATTATATTTTATAATACCAAACAGATCCAAAATACTTTGAAACCAAAAATAAAAATCCCAATAAAATATTCAACTTAACATAAAGTTAAAATGTAATAAAAAAAAAATCAAAAAAAAAAAAATCAAATAAATAAAATAAAATAAAAGGAATAAAAATAATTCGCATTACCAAAAATAACCTAAATAATTCTAAAAGATAAATAAGGTTTCCTAACATAAAAAAAGGGAATCGTAAATAAATAAGAGGCAGAAGCTTTAGGTCTAAAACATTATTTAGGACATACTAAAAACCTTCCTTATAGTGATTGTGGATTAGCAATAAGTAAAAGTAGTTTGGCATTAAATCAATTATAGGATAAAATAAAAGAAGTAGAAACTTTGAAATATAAAATGGAAAACTAAAAAATAAAAAAAGTTGTGGAAGAAATAGAACTGATTATGTGTCCTTATTATGGAAAAGGTTAAGTAGATACTAGCCGATTAGAATAATTTATTAATGTTTTAAAAGTAAAATTTAAATAAAAATATATACAATAGTTTATAAAAAAAAAAAAAAGGAAAGGGAATAAATATATGGTATAGATTATGAAGATATCTAATATTCAAAAAATATATAAATAGTAACTGATAAAAATGAATTTTTGACTGAAAATTAAAGATTAAATAAATAACATAAAGAAAAATAAGCATAAGAAGTATAAGAAAATAAGAAAAACTTTTTAAAGGAAAATAGTTAATTGGCAACTTCTATTATTAATAGGAAAACTGAAATTAGAAAAATTAAATAAGACAAAAAGAAGACTAAGTTCTAATAAAATAATAATTAATAATATAGTTGTACAAATATTAATATCGAAAATGAAAAGAAAAATAATGAACATATTGGAGATAAAATAAATAATATTTATTCTAATAATTATATTATCAAAAATACTCCAAAAATAAATGATTAATAAGAAAACAATACTTTGAAAAGACATATTTCAGATTGAAAAAATGATATATATATATATATATATATATATATATATATATATATATTTATATATATATATATATATATATATATTATTTATATTTATTTTTTTTAAAAAAAAGATTTTTTATTTTTTTTCAATAATAAATTTAAATTAATATAGAAATAATATATATAAATATATAAATATATTTATATAGAATAAAAAAAAAAAAAAAAAAATGAATATATGCGAATTTTGTCCAAATAACCTATATAAATAATATAAAATGATTCCATATAAAAAGCAAAAATATTCAAAACAAGAATTTCATGTTCATTTTATATGCGCCCTTTTCCATTTTGATAATTTGAAGATTTACAAATAAAAAAACTAATATATAAAATCAAAATAATTATATTATAATACATCAGAATAAGACATTTTAGAATGTTAAATTTGTGAAAAATCTTAATAAATAATATAAATGATTAAATGCGCTTAAAAGTAATATTTTTTATTTAAATATTTATATATGTATATAAATATATATATTTATTTATATATATATTATATCAATTATTATATTCTTTTTTTTATATATAAAGGACATGTTACAAATATTTTCATTTCAATTGTATCTATTAATAAAAGCTTACAATTTTAAAAATGAGAAATCGAAAAAGTGAAATGAATATGTTTAAAATATTATGTCACGAACATAAAAATGAAGAAAAATGTAAAATAATTATTTATAAAAAAAAAAAAAAAAAAAGTATAAAAATATATTATTACATGGGAAAAATTTGAACATTATTAAGTAAAAATGGGCTGTATTTAAAAAAGAAAAATTAAAATAGAAAGCGAAGATGAGCAAACAGAAAATTTATAAGAAACATAAAACTCAAATATATAAAAAAAATAACCCACAAATTAAAAAATACCCCAATTTCCAACCACAAATGATTCAAATAGAGTCTCCTAAATTAAAAATTGGTGGAAAATTATCAACGAATAATTTTTCAAGTTTCCAGATTCAAAAGATCTATATATTTTGAACAATCCACCCATATAAACTTTTAAATAATAACAATTTTCTCCCATATAACCGTCTTCTCCAATATAATCATCTTCATCTTTTTAAAATGACAAAGATACATTAAATGTCATTTATTTATGTCCATAATAGAATTCATATTTTATAAAATATGAATATTTCCCAAAAGAAATCGTTTCAGAATAAAATAATATTAACCAATAATAATTAAATATAGAAACAAATACATTTTAATATTTAAAATATTGCCAAATATCATTATTGGAAAGAAATAATATAATAATTGAAAAAAATAACCATTAAAAAATCTAATAATTAATAAAAAATTCTATAAATTTAAATATAAATGAAATATAAGAATAAAACACACAAGAAATTCTAGATAACATTCAAAAAATAAAAAAAAGGGGAATTTTAGATGAAATTAAATTTTTAGAAGAACACCAAAAAAATCTTAGAGAAAAAAACGATAAAATAAAATCGAAAATTGTCTAAAAAATTCAACTTGAAAATTCCAAAAATAAAACTGATTTAAATAAAGAATCTATAAAAATTTACGATATTATTAAATGGAATACTATTCTTAAATATATCCAAAAAGGATTTTCCGAAAAAAAAAAATATATAATTGATAATAATAATATTTAAATCAAATAATCACCTTTTTTTTTCGAAATAGATTGTAAAATATGCTTCAATAACTCCATTTCTGATTCTAATCCTGTTGTTTATTGCTCTAAATGTTCCAATTCTTTTCATTAATACTGCTATGGGATTAAAAATATACCAGAAGGAGATTTTTATTGTGTTTTATGTAATTTAAAGTCACAAAAAGAGTTTTCTTTTTCCAAAAAAAAATGCATATATTGTTCTAAAAGTGGCTTTCCAATGGTTTGCTTAAATAATGAATTTGCCCATGTTTCTTGTTTGATTTTAAATAAAAAAATAATGTTAAAAAATGGAAAAATAGTATTAAAAAATAACGAAGAATAATAATAAAAAAGAGATTAAGATGAAAATATTTGCTGTGTATGTAATAAGAATGAAGGAAATAAAATTAAATGTGAAAATTGTTAGACTTTTTTTCACCTACATTGTGCATATTTTTTCGGTATACAATTTAAGGTGTAAATAAATAATTTTAATGCTCAAAATGAAGCTACTTTTTAAATTTTTTGCTATAAACATTCTTGTTGGGATGTAATTTTTTATATTTATTTTATGTTTTTCTTTTCACTAATTTTCTATTTTTTTACTTTTATTTATTTATTTTTTATTCTTATTTTAGATTTTTTTTATTTATTTTTATTTTTTATTATTAGAAAAATGAAATTTTCCAGTAAGTTTATTCGAGGAGATATGCTATTAATTTATATGATATAGTTAATAATTATAAAAATTTCGAAAGTTTTAAAGAAGCTTTTTAAAAAGAGTTTAATTTGGTAAATTAATAAATATGTATTTCTTCAAAATAAACAAAATATTTAAGTTTACTATGTGAAGTTGCAGATGTCTTTGATGTATTTTTTTTTTATATTAAAAAATTTAAAAATGTATTTAAAAAGATTATATAATAATTTAAAAGGGAGAAAGTGATGAAAATGATTAAAATTTTAATAATTTCATTAAAAAAAACTCACCTTTATAAAATAATTAATTATCTGAATTTTAAAAAGAAATTAATAGTTTATTCTCAGATTGAAATTTTAAATAAATATATACATAATTTTATATATATATATATATAAAATAATTTTCTTTAATAAAGATTAGTTTTCTTGAAAAATGTTAAATAAAAATATAAAAATATAGAAAAAAATATATATAAATATATAGATATATAAATATATATATATATATATATTTATTTATATATATATATTTTTATTTTTAATTAAATAATCATTTTTACTTTTTAATACTTTATTATAAATTAAAATCTAATTCTTATAATACTTTTTTTATTTTAATAATTTTTAATTTTATTTTATTTACTTTAATTAAATTATTGTAATTTTTCATCATTTCCATCTCCTTATTTTTCAAAAACATTTACATTTTTTATTTATTCTTCTGATGTAAGCGTTCTCTCGCTTTTTAATCTGTATAAGCCTCTGTTTATTTAAAATAAATTATTTTATATTTGTGCATATTGATCATTTTTTTATTATTTTTTTTATTGAATAATATAATTCCAATTTATCTAAAATCAAAATGTATTAATAAAATTAATTTTTATTATTTTTTTACTCTTGCTTTTCCTAAATTTTAATTATAACTATTTTTATTAAAAATTACTACTGTTTAACACTAAGTTTTATATTTTAAATTTATTTGTATTAAAATTTAACCATATTCTTATAGTTTCTCTTTTTTTTATTTTTTTATAAATTTAACATAATATACTATTATAATTATATTTTTTTATAAAATAAATACATTAATTATTTAAATAATAAAATTTAACTAAAATGGGTTTTTAAATAAATTTTTCAACTTATTTTTCTGTATTAAACTATAAAGTATGTTAAAAATAAAAGCAATTTTTCATCTCTTTTCTGAAAGTAAACATTTATTTTTCATAATAAAATATAATTTCAGCAATTAAAAAAAAATCTTTTTAATTTTATTTTATGATTTAAAATTCGAATTAATTAATATTTTCTAATTCAAACATAATTTGATAATCTCCTTGATATTTTAATTATTAATCTTTTTTTTAAATCTAATCTTCATCTTGTTCTTTTTAACAAAATAATATATACTATTCAAAGAATTAATTTATATTCATTCTATTTTTAAGTTAAATTTACAAAGTATTTATTAAAATTTATTATTTAAATAAATTATCTGTTTATTCTAAACTTTATCTAATTATTTCTTATATTTAAATTGTTTAAGTTTCTTTATTTTACTTTAAAATATTAATCATATCTTCGAAAATTGGTCTATTAGAATTTATAAAAAGCTCATAAAATAAACATCCTAAACTCCAAATATCTTATTTAAATTCCCTTTTTATATTTTAATGTAAAATGTATTTATTACTTTTTTTATTTATTTACAGTTAAGTTGAATTGAATTAATGTTTTCGGGTCCTATATAGGATACTTATTAGTTTTTATTAATTATTTTATTAAAAATATTATTTTTATTTAATTTTAAAGGTTTCAAAATTAATTATTACTAAATATTACTTATTAATATACTATCTTTATTAATATTTAAATATCCTTCACCTTTTTTTATAAAAAAATAATAATTACATATACTATATTATATAATAACCTAAAGAATGAATTTTTTAAATTGAAAGTAGAAGTTATTCAAATATATTCATTTTCATTTGTAAGTTAAAATTAGGATTATTTAATAGATATATTAATTTTTAAAAATCATTATTTTAATAATTTTTAATATAATAAATATATGTTTCTTTATTAATTTTTTATTTTAATTGAAATAATAAAAATAAAAACCTTCATTTTCAATAAAAAGGAAGACATCCTCAAGTAATAATATATTCATTTAAAATAAATCGTATAAAACTTTATATCTTTTAATTAATTAATAATCGAAAATATCAAATAATTGTTTTTTTATTTTATATTTTTATCCATTTTTATTAGCAAAAAAAACAATCTTCTCATTATTTAATTATTCTTTTTATTTTTTATTAATTATTATTTAAAAAGTTAAAATAAAAAAATAAAAACATTAGGATGTTATTTAATATCCCTATAATCTTTCTTTTAAATCTTTAAAATGAGAATTTAAATTAAAATTAATAATTTAATTAAATAAAGAAGTCATAAATATATTTTATTTTATTTATTAATAAATATCAAAGTAAATAAATCGTTTAAATTTAATATAAAATTTTATAAAAAAATAAATAAAAATAAATAAATATTATTTATATACATCAAAATATTCAAATAATTTTTTTTAAATTTTTTTTTTTTTCATTTTTATTTCTTATTTCTATAAAAAGCATCGAATTCTTACATATATTAAAATTTTCCAGTTTAAAATTAAACCTATTATTCTTATTAATCCTAAGAATTATCATAAACATTTAAAAGACTCTATTAAAAGTAATTATTTTATACTTTATTAGGTTAAAAATTAGATTTTTAATAACTCTAATTATTCAATGAAGATAATTATTTATAATTATAAAAATATTGCTTTGTTATTTAACCTTACATATCATTTAAAAATTATTTTTAAGGATAAAACTTTTACTTTGTAGGATGATTTTTAATATTATTTTAGTTATCTTATTAAGATTAAAGTTTATGTGCAAGAGGAGAAGACAAGAAAGTATTTGCAATTTCAAGAATATTAATTGAATTATTTTTTTTGTATTAATTTCTTACTATTTATCATTTTTTTCATAGTACTTCTCTCTTTGTTCTTTTAAGTATATAACTCCGTTTTCATTAACAATTTCTTTAGAATTAGTATTAGTAAAAGTATTAGTATTAGTATAATTATTATTAATATTATTATTATTATTATTATTATTATTATTATTATTATTATCATTATTTTCATTAATTTCATTATTATCATTATTATCATTATTATTATTTTTATTAAATTATTCTTTTTTTTTTTTTGTTTCTTTTTCTATTAATTCTTTTTTTCCTCCAAATTACTACCTATCATTTTAAATTTTACTTTTAATTTTGCTTTGTACATTTTTTAAATATGCTGGAACCTACTACTAATTTTAAGAAGATTCTTTTTTACTTTTTTTTTTTTAACTTTTTTTATTTTTAGTTGTCATTGGGGATTAATTTCTTAATGTTGAAAACATTTC